CCCAGCCCAGCCCTTCCTCACAGAGCTATGGAGCTGATGTGGTTCTGACAGCAACCAAGAGCTGGGGTGGGGTTGGAACAAGTGGGTAAATCAAACAAATCCCAGGGAAAGTGGGTCCACCCTGGGCTTTGCTGCCCTGCTGTCAGTGCAGGGCAGATCCCCCGTGCCCCCAGTTTGCTCCCTGACAGCAAAGCACAGGAGCCGAGCTGCTGAGTATAAACATTTCACTTAATAAACACCCTGTGAGCCAAACACTTTGGCTTCACCCCGAGGAGCTGGCAGATGCCTGCAGATTTTATTATTCTGGTTACCAGGCACAGAGCTAGTTTGGTTAGAAACTCGTGTGAAGTGGGACATCAAACATTGGCACCGGCCCAGCAGCGGCAGCACAAGAGCTCTGCCCGCTGCCTGAGCTGGGCTGGGGCACTCCCAGCCAGAAAAGGCCCATCTGCCTCATGGAAATCACCTTGGAACACTCCAAATATTGCATCTGAGCGCTGGTGGAATGCCTGCTGTTCCGTGGTGAAGGTGCAGCAGTGGGGAATGGGCTGGGGGATGCTGGGGGGCACTGGGATGGGAGGTGGGAGCTGGAGGGAAGCAGAGACGTCTCCTCCCGGCCCTGCTCTGTGGCACAGGAGCCATTCCCTGCCTGCCCCAGATCCATCAGAGCCCCTGAGCACCTCCCTGCACCCCCTTCCCCCTCTGGCCCTTATTCCACCACAGCCATCACTGCAGCTCCTCCTGGAAAATGGACTGGCACAGCAAAGTTTTGACTGAACTTTATGGGTTCTGGCATTCTGCCTTTCCTGAGGCATGGATATTTTTCATAACTGATTTATATTCTGGTGTTTTACTCTTCTATTTCCAATGGGTAAAGGTTAAGAAAAGGTTAAACCCCAGTGTGTGCCAAGTGCATGGCATCAACCCCCTGAATACAACCCCTGCTTCTTTCCCTTCCCCAGATTACTGGGAGTGATTTTTTTTCCCCCAAAATACTCATGCCAGAAATGTGGGACTGTAGATGTGCCTTTATCACTGCCAGATTTTCTTTCTGAATCTGTTCTGTTGTAGGTGAAGCCTGTGGTCATCCAGAGCCAAAGGTAAAACAGAAATAAATCAACCAAATTCTAAGTGTAAAAAAGAATTTGTGCCCAGCTGGAGACTCTGGGGTCCCTGGTGAGGTCCATCAGCTGGACTCAGTCCTGAATACATCCCCTGCTTCCCTGCTCCTGCTTCCTCCCCTCCCCAGATTACTGGGAATGATTGTTTTCCCCAAAATACTCATGCCACAAATGTGGGACTGTAGATGTGTCCTTATCACTGCCAGATTTTCTTCCTGTATCAGTTCAGTTCTGTAGGTGAGGTCTGTGCCATCCAGAGCCAAAGGTAAAACAGAACTAAATCAACCAAACTCTAAATGTGAAAAAGAATTTGTGCCCAAATGGCCCAGCTGCAGACTCTGGGGTCCCTGGGCCATCAGTTCCTGGTGAGTTCCATCAGCTGGACTGGGTCCTGGCAGGTTCCCAGTGCCAGGAGGTTGCAGGGAGTGACTGGGGAGCGTGGGGGCGGATCTGCCAGTGCCCATGGCAGAGGTGAATTGTACAACACCTCCTGAAACACCTGAGCTGAGAGAGCCACAGCAGGAACCTCCTGCTCCTCAGGGGAGCAAGCGTGGGGCAGGAGGGTGGGGGAGAGTTCAGTCAGGGGGAGCACCTGGAGCTGCAGGGCTGGCACTGGCACATCTGGCACCGCCACAGCTGGAACCGGCACATCTGGCACCAAAAGCACAGCCCCTGTGCCAGGCAGGTCGCAGGGAGGAGCTGAGGCTTCCCCTGCTGACCCTGCAGGGCCTGGGGGCCCTTTCACTCTGTTGCCCCAGGGCTCCTGTGGCACCTGAAGGCTCCAGTCCAGGGCCACGGGAGTCAAGACCTTGTGCTGGTGTTGCAACCAAACCCTTGCACCTGTGCCTGGGCTCTCCTGGTCTGGGGGACAGGGGGGAGCTGCTTTTATGGCCCTTTCTTGGGCAATGGGGCCGGGAAGGGGTGTTTTGGATGGAGATTCACATGGGGTTGGGAAGAGGCTGGACCTCTGAACCCAGTCCTGAAACAAACAGCACCAAGGGCTGGGTGTGCCTCATGCAAGGAGAAGGGGGATGAAGAGGGGGCAGGCAAAGGAGGAAGTGTTGTTTCAGAGCACTGATTTTTAATCCCTAAAGTTAAGGAGCAGCTGGCTGGATGGGACATTTGTCCATGTCCAGCACTGGGATCAGTTTGGGCCCTTGTGTCACACCTAAGGCAGGGATCAGATGGCTCTCCCACCAAATTTTGACTCATTCCTTGGACTGGAGCTGCTGTTCTGTGCCTACGTCAGTGCAGGAAAGTGGCTTTGTGCCAGGGGCTCCTATCAACACCAGCCAGGAACCTCAATGTGACTTTCCTCTTCCCAAGCACAGCTATCACCAGCACGGGGCAGCAGATAAGAGCTCAGTGAGCGTGTTTGCAGAATGAACTCTGGCAGAAAAGGTCTGTGCCTGGCATGCACAGCCTGGCCTGGGCCTGGCAGGGCTGGCATCAGCCAGGTCTGGACCGAGGGGACACCCATGTCCTGTTGGTCACCCACATCACGTTGCTGGAGCAGAGCAGCTCTGCTCCCATGTGTTGTTTGCCCTGATATCACATCCCATTTGTGTACTCAGTGAGGTCAAATCTTACATTTCTGAGCATCACTCACTGCAGGGATGGGCTGCCTGAAAACTTGTGAGCTCTTGGAGCTCTTCTCCCAGCCCTTGTCCTTTATTTCCACGCTCAAACTGGATGAGAGATCCTGAAAAACCTGGTCCCTGCAATGCAGCAGCTGTCTGGCACTCTGCTCTCCCCTCCACACTCATGGAATTGCTCCGGGGTCCTGCCCCAGCTGCAGGGTTTAAACCAGCTCTGCAGCTTGCCTCGGGCTCATCCCAGCAGCACCAGGCCCAGCTGGATTTGCCTTTTGTTCAAGGAGCAGCCACGCAGCTCCTCGTGCTCTTTACTGCCCAAATCTCTGAGGTTTCAGCTGCTGTTTGATCTGGGCAAGGCTGTGATAAGCCAAGGCAAGAACTTGACTCTGTCCGGGACGCTGACATCACGAGCCTGTTTGTTTAAGATGGAATTTAATCATGGGGATATTTTCCCCTCTATACCTGCTCTGTTGATTATTTTTTTCTGATTGCCAACACTTTCACTCAGCAGGGGAATTTCATTAAAGAGCTGGGATTTAATTGGCTGCTTGGGTCTGTCTGGTGGCAGAAGGGATGGAGATCAGAGAGACCACCAGGGATTACCAGCCCTCAGAAACTCTTGCTGAGGCTGGACATTCAAAATATTCACCAAGGAGAACTGGAAATTCCAAGCAGAGCTGTGGGGCTGGGAGGAAGGCTGGGAACAACCAAAGGATCACTGAAAACGTGGGAAAACCATGAGTGTTTATCAGACAGGCTTTTGGCATGAGGGACTGGGAATAGCCCAGGACACTGGTTAGTGCTGTTATCCAAAGGCAAAGCTTGTCCTTGCTCTTGGAGGGGAATCTCCAGTGGAACAGCAGCAGCAGGGATGCCCTGCAGAGGGCACTGGGTCAGGCTCTGGGACGGGTTCCCCCTTTGCTCCAAAGCCATGGGCTGGGGTCCCTCCCGAGCCCCGTGGGTGCAGCTCAGGGCTGGAATCTCAAACACCCCATGGCCGGGGCAGTTTTACAGCACAGTGCTCTTGATGGCCCCTGTGATCTCTAAAGGGTTGATGACCTCCCTTTCTAGACCCATTAGCTGCTATTAGCATAATGATTCTATTGACCTAAATTCTCCCCAGAGTTTCGGCTCCCTGCATCATCCTCTCCTTCCTGCGCTGCTCTCCTCCAATCCCCTCCCGCTCCCCGCTCCGAGGCACAGCCGGGCTCTCTCCACTCCTGTGCAAGGACACTTTGCTCATCCCGCTGTGCCCTGGACTCTCAGCAGCGCCCGGAGAGGGGCGGGGAGGCTCCGGCACATCCAGATCGCCCTGTAAACTCTAAACAACCTGGATGTTGCTTCTCGGTGCATTCTCCTGCCTGAATCACCAGCTTTTCCCACCCCCTCTTCTCCTCCCGTGTTGGGCAATGACCCATTTAGATACACGCCAAAACACAAATAATTACGGAGATGCTGGGTTTATATCTGACCACTTCCTCCCTCCCTCCTCTCCCCTCCCAGGTGATTCCCTCTCTCCTGGGCACGGTAAAATCAGGGATGTCTCAAGTCCATCATCCCTTTGCTGAGACCCAGATCCCGGGCAGGACTGGTCTGCCGGGATGTTTGGGCATCTTCATCACTGCCATGAGTTAGCAACAGTTATCTCCCCGAGCATCACTTCCTAGAGGAAGCCGGGCACTCACCCACGGCCGGGAGGATCGGGAAGGTTCTGGAATGCTGGGCAGTGTGGCAGGAACAGCTCGGGAGGGATCCAGCCCTCAATCGTGCCGGTGCCAGTATCAACCAGCCTGGCAAAGCCTTGGTGGTGAAACCGAGCCATGGGAAAGGTCAAGGGCCCCGCCCGGGGCAAAAAGGCACTCCCGGAGCTGGGATTAACACCCCTAACCCTAACCCGGGATTAACCCTAACCCTAACCTGGGATTAACCCCAACCCTGCCCCTCTGCCGGGCGATCCAGGGTCCCCTGGCGCGGCACCGCTCATTAACACCGCTCATTAACACCGCTCATTAACACCGCTCATTAGCATCACCTCCGAGGAGCCGGGAAGGCTGCGGGGCCGGGGAGCAGCAGCAGCCCCTGGAGCTGGGAGAAGCCACTCCCAGGACCTGCCTCTCTGCCACGGGGAAACTATTTAGGGTGGAGGAGCTCGGGGAGGGCTCCAGAGGCTGGAGGTGTCCGCTCTGGGCCAACTCCAGCCGCATTCTTGCCTTTGCTCTTTCTATTTTTTTTTTAATTTCTTTTCTTTTCTTTTTTTCCTTTTTAATATCCAAATGATGCAGAGATGAGCCAGGCCAGGCCTCGCTATGCCATCGAACGTGCTGCCTACTCTGTCAGCCTCTTCGACGAGGAGTTTGAGAAGAAAACCAGAGCTTACCCCGTCGGGGAGAAACTGAGAAACCTTTTCAGGTAACAGGGAGCTCTCATATTATTACACCACTCCACTTCCAGATTTAGTCAGGAATTGGAGAGGTATAATTCAGACCTGGGAATCCAGATCACATTTTTATCCTGGGGATCTGTGCTCTTCAGGGGTTTGATGGATGAAAGGTATGGGAGAAATGCAAATTGGGCTGAAGAAAATGAAATTGGTGGCTCTTTTCTCAGCAGAACAGTTTGCACTGGGTGCATTTGGGATTTGGGGTCCTATTTTCCTGGTTTTTTAATAGTGGAAAAAGCACAATTGATGATGTAGGCACGTGTGCATTATTTTTTTATGCTTTCCAGCTGAGATTTCCTTTTCTCAGCTTTCTGATTAAAATCAATACCACCTTAAAGAAAGGCTAATAATTATGTAAACAAAGGTTTATAACCCTGCTGATCACTTCCTTGGAAATCTATCTCCATTCCCCAGAAGAAGGAAGATAATAGAGGAAAGAGAGAGCTCAGGATCTGGTGAGGGAGAAAAGCTGAAACATTCCTGGGAAGATCCTTCCTTACTCCCAGCTCATTCACTCCCTCCCTTCTTTCAGTTTCAAATTCTCCACCTTTCAAATTTGCTTTCATTCTTTTTATCTCCCTTTTAGATGTTCAGCTTCCAGGCTCAAGCTCACCCTCTTCCGCCTGTTCCCCATTCTGGGGTGGCTCCCCAAGTACAAAATCAAGGACTACATCCTGCCTGATGTCCTCGGGGGGCTCAGTGCAGGGACAATCCAAGTGCCACAAGGTGAGCAGCCTCCCTCTCTGGGTGTCCAGGAGGGAATGACAGCTCCAGCAAAGCCCTGCAGGCGATGCTGGTGCCCGTTTGGGAGGGATTTGTGTTTTGCTGGTGCCATCAAGCTCTCCCTCCAGCCTGGAGCTCCCTGTATTTTCCCTTGTGTTTTGCAGGGATGGCCTTTGCCCTCCTGGCCAATCTGCCTCCTGTCAATGGCCTCTACTCCTCCTTCTTCCCCCTGCTCCCCTACTTCTTCCTCGGGGGCATCCATCAGATGGTGCCAGGTGAGGAATTGCCTGCTCAGGACAGTGAAATGCTGCCTGGGGACGCTGGTGTGTCCCAGAGCTGGGCTGTTTGCCCTGCCAGGCGTTTGTGGGGTCGCTGATTCTGTCACCCCAATGACCCCAACCCTGCCCTGGGGCTGGGGAGGGGCTGAGTGGAGCCCAGGAGCCTTCCAGGACAGGGCTCTGCCCACAGGGAGCTCCTGACCTCCCCGTGCTGCCCGCAGGGACCTTTGCTGTCATCAGCATCATTGTTGGCAACATCTGCAACGAGCTGGCTCCAGAGTCGGACTTCCAGTACTTCAACCACACCAGCAACGAGAGCAGAGTGAACAGCACGGCCCTGGAGGCAGCCAGGCTGGAGATCTCTGCCACCCTGGCCTGCCTGACAGCCATCATACAGGTGAGGGCTCTGCTGTGCCCCCGGGAGCCAAGCTTTCCGTGGAGCAGAGATGGTGGTGGTGGCAGAGATGCTCAAAGGGGACAAACTTGTGGGTGGATGATGCCTCAAAAATAGAGATTTTGGGGCGGTTTTGGCCTTGGGGTGGAATTCTCCATGTGGACAATCCAAGAATGGCACTCTCAGCCCTGAATGGGGGTGGATTATGGCTCAAAATAGAGATTTTTGCATTTTTGGTCCTATGGGTAGAATTCTCTATGGGGACCATCCATTAGCCCTGAGTGGGGGTGGATGATGCCTCAAAGTAGAGATTTTTGATCTTGGGGTGGAATTCTCCATGGGGACAATCCATTAGCCCTGAGAAGAGGCAGATTATGGCTCAAAATAGAGATTTTTGGGGATTTTTGATCTTGGGGTGGAATTCTCCAAGGGGACAATCCAAGAATGGCACTCTTAGTCCTGAATGCAGGGTGGATGATGCCTCAAAGTAGAGATTTTTGGCCTTGGGGTGGAATTCTCCATATGGACAATCCAAGAATGGCACTCAGCCCTGAGTAGGGGTGGATGATGCCTAAAAATAGAGATTTTTGGGGTTTTTTTTGGTCTTGGGGTGGAATTCTCCATATGGACAATCCAAGACTGGCATTCTTAGCCCTGAGTGGGGGCTCAAAATAGAGATGTTTGGTCTTGGGGTGGAATTCTCCATAGGGACAATCCAAAAATGGCACTCTTAGCCCCGAGTGCAGGGTAAATGATGCCTCCAAGTAGAGATTTCTGGTCTTGGGGTGGAATTCTCTGCGTGGGCAATCCCAGAATGTCACCCTTGTCCCTGCTGTCCCCTCCCCTGCTCCGGGACACCGCTGTGTGTGTGGGAGAGCTGTGTGTGCTCCCCCAGATGATGCCCCTGCCCCACGCAGGGCTGTCCCTGCTCTGACCACAGCTCCTCTGCCTCTCTAGCTGTGCCTGGGCTTCCTGCAGTTCGGCTTCGTGGCCATCTACCTGTCAGAGTCCTTCATCAGGGGCTTCATGACGGCGGCGGGGCTGCAGATCCTCATCTCCGTGCTCAAGTACGTCTTCGGCTTGACGGTCCCGTCTTACACCGGGCCCTTAGCTATCGTCTACGTAAGTGGGGGCTCTGCACAGCCACCTTCCCCCCAACCCCAGCAGCACCACCACCCCTGCCTGGGAAACGGGGCCCAGGAGGTCAGGAAAGGGTGGGGGGAAAGGGGAATCCCTGCCCCAGCGGTGGAGTTGGGTGTTAGGGGAAAGTTTTTTGCTGAAAGGGTGATAAAGTTCTGGAGTCACCGTCCCTGGGTGTGTTTAAAACAAGGCTGGGTGTCAGGGTTCAGTTGAGGTGTTGGAGATGGGTTGGACTCGATCTTGAAGGTCTTTTCCAGCCTGGTGATTCTGTGTTACCCAGCCAGCATTATCCGAGCTTGGATGTGTTTAAAACAGCCTGGCTGTGGCACTGGGTGCCAGGGTTCAGTTGAGGTGTAGGGGATGGGTTGGACTCGATCTTGAAGGTCTTTTCCAGCCTGGTGATTCTGTGTTACCCAGCCAGCATTATCTGAGCTTGGATGTGTTTAAAACAGCCTGGATGTGGCACTGGGTGCCAGGGTTTAGTTGAGGTGTTGGGGCTGGGTTGGACTGGATGATCATGAAGGTCTCTTCCAACCTGGTGGTTCTGTGCTTCTGTGAATTCTGTGTTCCCCAGCAGCATTATCGGAGCCCTGCCTGTGGTTTTAGTGAGGAATAATGGATTGGGACTGGGATCTGGGGGTATGAGCTGTGCTGATTTGCAGCAGGAGTCTTGCAGAGTTGTCAGCAGCAGGAACGTTTCCCCTGAGCAGGTTTGGCCATTCCTGGGATTCCCTGTGTCTTCCATGGGTGCATCCTGTGCTGATGCAGCCAGAGCTGCATTAAATCACCAGCCCAGGCCCAGGGCTGGGGGCTGACCCCTCAGCAGAGGCTTTTTAGCACTGCTCACATCTCAGGGTGTCGATTGTGGTAACAAGTGCTGTCTGTTGTTCTGTCCATGTCGCCCATGTGGCTCACTGTGACCCCTCCTCCTGTTCTCTCCCCTTCAGACATTCATTGACATTTGTAAAGGTCTGCCCCAGACCAACCTGGCCTCCCTGGTCTATGCCTTGGTCAGCTCTGTGCTCCTGATTGTTGTCAAGGAGCTCAACCTGAAGTACATGAAGAAGATCCGGATGCCCATCCCGATGGAGATCATCATTGTAAGTGACACCTGGGCTCTCCCTGGAGCCTCCCCTGGCCTCACAGGCCCTGCTTTCAGCAGGGCCACCATGTAGAGCATCTACACAGTGACTGTGACACGGCCTCCACATGGTTTGGGCTCAGGAACTGGGCCAGCCCCATGCTCATCCCTGCACTGCATCCTGGTGATGCTGAGGGTGAAGAAAACAACTCTGCTGGGACTGTCCTCACCTTCCCCAGCCCCAGCTTGGTGCTGGTTTTATTCTGTCAGCTCTGGGAGCGTGGCAGGGTGAATGCCCTGAGCCAGCCCAGCTCTTCCTGCTCACAGCTCTTTATTCCCTGTCCCTGCAGGTGATCGTGGCCACCGCAATCTCCGGCAGCTTCAACATGCCCGACAAGTATGGGATGCCAATAGTGGGGAAAATCAGCATGGGGTAAGAGCTTGTGCTGCTCTGATTCACCTTCCAGACAGTTTTCCTTCCTCCTCCTCCTCCTCCAGCCTGGAAAACACCTCACTCTTCCCTGCAACCCCAGAGTCCCCTTCCAGGAATGTCAGCGTGCCCTGTGACACAACCACCCCCGTCCTCTGCAGTGTGGGCAGGGATTGTGCCATTCCTGAACCCTCCAGCCCCTCAGCCAGCACTGCCACACCTTCTCCCCTGTGCTCTGAGTGCAGGTTCCCAAAGGCCACCCTGCCCCTGGTGAGCAAGTGGAAGGACATGGTGGGCACGGCTTTCTCTCTCGCCATCGTGGGCTACGTGATCAACCTGGCCATGGGGAGGACCCTGGCAGCCAAGCATGGCTACAACGTGGACCCCAACCAGGTATGGCTGGGGCTGGGGCAGCCAGGGGCTGCTGCCTTTGCTGTCAGGCGTGAAGGGAAGAGCTCACAGCGTGAAGGGAAGACGTTCAGACGTGCTGGGCCCCGAGCAGACGTGCTGCTCCCGAGGAGGCTCCGTGGCTTTGTGCCATGCTGGGGGCAAAAGGACACGGCAGAGCCCTGTCCTGTGTACTGGAGAGAGGCTGGAAGAGGGAAAGGAGCTTCAGGCTGGGCTCTGTGCCTTGCTCTCCCTCCACACTCAGTGTTTTGGCAGCTTGAGGTGCGTGCACTGCTCAGGGAGCAGAGAAAGACCTGGATTCCTGGTGTGTCACCTAGATACTCGGAGAGGCAGGACATTAAATAATCCTCTTTTGTCATCCCTGGCACGGTGGCAGCTTTCAACAACAGCCACACATACCACATGGAGCCCTGCCCTGAGTGTGTCAACAGATGACAACGTGTTTATGTGGGATTGTGCTTCCAGGTTTCCCTGCTGCACCAGGGCCTAGCCCAGATCTTACTAGAAGGAAAGAGTCTGGGATGCACAGCAGGGAACCCAGAGCTGCCCTGGCCACATAAACCAGCCTCAGGCCCCTGCTCTCTTGCCAGTGTGTCAGCAGGAAGGGCAGCTGTCCTCTCTGATTCACTCTCCACATCTCCACAGGAAATGCTGGCCCTGGGCTGCAGCAACTTCTTCGGATCCTTCTTCAAAATCCACGTGATCTGCTGTGCCCTCTCTGTCACCCTCGCCGTGGATGGGGCAGGAGCAAAATCCCAAGTTAGTTCCTCCTCCTCCTCCTCCTCCTCTCCTCTCTCCATTCCCTCTGGATCACCAAGTGCTGTAGCAGCCACACGCTGCCAGCCTGACTGTGCAGCCCTGGAGAGGTTTAACACACAAGTGCTTCAGGCTGCTGCTGTTAAAGCAGAATTTCCTCCCTCCCCAAGCCCATTTTGGCCCCTGATTTGGGCACAGAAACAGAGCTCTCAATCTGCAGTCCCACTCTGGACTGGGCAGCGAGGGAAGGTTGGGGTTATCTGTGAGATCTGCAAACCCCTGCCTGTTTTCAGAGGCAAACATCCTCTCCCATAAAATGCTGCAGTGCCCAGTTGTGCCCCTGACTACACCCAGGGGAGCTTTGAGAAGCCCTGATGTTTGCAGAAGTGATTTTCTTCCCTCTTTGCAGGTGGCAAGTTTCTTTGTGGCTCTGGTGGTCATGGTGACAATGCTGTCCCTGGGAATCTACCTCGAGCCTCTTCCAAAGGTAACACAAACATCTGTGCAGGCAGAGCCATTGCAACACCCGCTCTCCACACCCAAACACGGGCACAGCCTGGCTCCAAAAAAACCCTGATGCAAACAGAAGCACGGGACAGCTTGTTCCTGGCCTGGGGACCTGTCTGCAGGGCTGGCTGGAATCACACAATCACACAGCCACACAATTCCAGGCTGGTTTGGGTTGGAAGGGACCTTAAACCTCATCCCTGCCACGGGCAGTGACACCTTTTACTGTCCCAGGCTGCTCCAAGCCCTGTCCACGCTGGCCTTGGGCAGGGATGGGGCAGCCACAGCTTCTCTGAGCAAATATAAATGTAAATTATGGTGAAAGAATCATCCAAATGACCCTGCTCAGATGCAGGTGAGATCCATGTGAGCATCACCCTTGTGATAGGGCAAATATAAGTGTAAATTATGGTGAAAGAATCATCCAAAGGACCCTGCTCAGATCCAGGTGAGATCCTTGTGAGCATCACCTTCGTGATGGGGCAAATATAAGAGAGCAAATAAGTGTAATATATATATATATATAATATAGATAATAAGTGTAAATTATGGTGAAAAAATCATCCAAATGACCCTGCTCTGATCCAGCTGGGAGCTTTGTCAGCATCACCCTTGTGATAGGGCAAATATAAGAGAGCAAATAAGTGTAATTTATCTATATAATATATAATATAGATAATAAGTGTAAATTATGGTGAAAGAATCATCCAAATGGCCGTGCTCAGATCCAAGTGGGAGCTTTGTGAGCATCACCCTTGTGATGGGGCTGGCCCAAGGCAGGCAGATGCTGCAGAAAAGCATCCACTGCCAAACGTGGCACATCCAGGTGTGGCTGACACCATTCCCTGTCCTCCACAGTCTGTGCTGGGAGCCCTCATTGCTGTGAACCTGAAAAACTCCCTCAAGCAGCTGGCTGACCCCTTCTACCTGTGGAAGAAGAGCAAGCTGGACTGTGTGAGTGCCTGGGGCTGCTGGGAGGGATCACCTGGCCAGGGCTGGATGAGCAGGACAGACCCCAAAAAAGCCTTGAGTGGGGTTTTGGGGGTGTGAGTCCCTTGCAGGAGGTGGGTTTGGCTCTCTTGGTGAGATGGTGCTGCCTGGCCTGCCCAGCTGAGCACGCTGCAGCTCAGAGCACATATCAGAGAGGCCTGAACTCTTACCTGCTGTGTTCAAATGCCAATCAAGAGCGGAGCCTGTTTGCCCAGAACTAGCCAAACCGGCCCTGCTCAATATCTGGGAGTCATGACTTCAAAACTCACACAATGGCCCTCCAGGGTGAGGAGAGCCCTTCAGAGTGATAAGGACTCCAGGCACTGGTTGATGTATAAACCCAGGCAGGGGGTGGCGGGGGAGTGAGAACGGAATTTGGAAATGTCTGACATAAAAAGAGAGTGTTTGAACAGGGCTCCCACGGCTGAGTGCCGTGTGTGGACACGGAGCCAATATCCTGTCAGGGCCCAACAAAACCCCTTATCAGGGCAATCAGGAGGAGTCCAGAGGGGCTGGCCCGGGCCATGAAGAGCTTTCCCAAAATCCTGCTCAAACAAGTGCTGGGGAAGAGCCGGGTTATCAATTTGGGCACATCTCTGATCAGGTTTTGCTGCTGGGGGGTGAGAGGGGAGCTCTGTGGGCTCTGGCAGCTCTGTGGGCTCTGCTGCCCCTTTACCAGAGCACAGATGGACCCCAGAGGCTTCAGAGACCCCAAAACCTGGGCAGAGCCCTGAGCATGGACTGAGTGGAGATGGATGGTGCTGCCTGAGGAACATCCTGGCAGATACCAATGGAGTGAACGGGATTCCCCTGACCTCAATCTCCTTGGAATTTGAACTAGATTCAGTGTCCTGGCCCAAAATGGGGAGCACCATTCCTGGGTGATGTCAGAGCATTGGTGTTCATCACCTTTATGCTGGTTGTGTTTCAGGACAGCTAATTCCAACTAATTCTAATGATGGATGCATGGATGGATGGAGGAAAGCTCTTCCTTGCCATTTATGCACAAAATGAATATAAATTAAGATATTGAAGTCATCAAAGTTACCTTTATTCATCCAAGGTCAAAGTTAGGTTTTATTCATTTTGAGGATGGGTTTAAAACAACCTGATAATGATTTTCAGAGGAGATGTTTAAATGCAGGGCAGGACTGATCTCATATAGAGCGAGATGCTTGAGTGCTAACACATAAAAATGAGAAATGGCAGAGCTGTGAGCTGGAGTGGGGCAGGTTTTGGTCTCCTCTGCCACATCAAATCCTCTCTGTGTTCAGAGCATTTCTAGCAGGTGCTCAGGCAGTTTTCAGAGAGACGATTTCTGACTTTTTCTGAACTGCTCTGGCTGACAGCAGGAGCTGCTCAGCAGGGTTGGAGCAGGGAGCAGCAGATGGTGGGATCTGCAGGAGCCCCTTCCTGATCAAGCCAGGCTGATCCTTTTTGGGTGGAACGAGCAGAGCGGGCGCTCGAGCAGCCATGGAGAAACGCCCTGGCTGCTTCTGTGGCTGAAAAGGAACTGGGGCTCCTGGCAAACTGCCCAGCAAGGACGGTTCCCTCTGAAACATGCAGCAACTGCAGCATTAGAACAGCTGCAGAATTCAGGGTTTGGCCTATTCATGTTGAGCTGGGAGGGTTTGAGAGCTCAGGGTAGCAGCACAGAACCATTTCCCCCGTCCATTTTTCCCCCGTCCATTTTTCCCCATCCACTTTTTCCCGTGCATTTTTTTTTCCATCCGTTTTCCCACCCAGGTTTTCCATCCGTTTTCCCCGTCCATATTTTCCCCATCCATTTTTTCCATCCACTTTTCCTATCCACTTCCCCATCCATTTCTTCCCCATCCATTTCTTCCCCATCCATTTCTTCCCCATCCATTTCTTCCCCATCCATTTCTTCCCCATCCATTTCTTCCCCATCCATTTCTTCCCCATCCATTTCTTCCCCATCCATTTCTTCCCCATCCATTTCTTCCCCATCCATTTCTTCCCCATCCACTTTTCCCCTTCGTTTCCCATTCGTTTCCCCTCCATTTCCCATCCATTTCCCCCCCATTTTCCCATCCATTTCCCCCCCATTTTCCCATCCATTTCCCCCCCATTTTCCCATCCCCTTTTCCCATCCATCTCCCTCCACATCCCCACGGTTCATCTCCCCTCTCCCTCCTCTCCCTGCAGCTGGTCTGGCTCGTGAGTTTCCTCTCCGCTTTCTTCCTGAGCCTCCCCTACGGCGTGGCGGTGGGCGTTGGATTCTCCGTGCTCGTGGTGGTTTTCCACACCCAGTTGTGAGTACCTCGTGGCCCCCCAGAGCCACGGCAGATCTGCCAGGGGCAGGAGGAGGGACGGGTGATTTTTTAGGAGCGACCTCTGGCCCGCGGAACGCGCGGCAGGAGCCCCGGGGAGTGCAGGTGTCCTGCCCGGAATGCGCAAACAGGAATGGCAGGCGCCAATTGACTGCCTGCATTCCCGCTCCCGTGCACATCCCAGGGCCTGGGGAAGCCTCAAGGGATTTGCTTCACCCCACACAGTTCCCAGCTCACACAAAGAGAGAGTCCTTGTGGGAACCCAGCACATCCCTCTGGCTGTCCAGAACAGCCAGGACCCCTGCCAGGGGGCTCAGAGACCCTGGCACAGAGCCCAAAACACCTCTGGGATTGATTATGACCCATGGAGCAAATCACCAACCTCAGATGAAGATCAGCAAGCCACAACAGTTTAGGTAGAATAATAGTGAAGTTATCATGGGGTGGAAAAGGAGATTTTGGGGTTTTTGGTATGGGGGTTCAGGAGGCAAGACGGAGGGAACTGGGTGTGTCCTGTCCTTCTTCTCCTTCTTCTTCTTGGCCTCCATCTTCTGCTGTGATGTTGGCACTTTTAGATTGGTTTAGAGTAGAAGCTCACTGTCTAACACAGGTGATAGGTATTGGAAAGTTATTTTAAACATTGTACAGGTAGTTTTTAGTATAAAGACATAACACCGCCCCAAGGGCTGGAAACAATTCCCAGCTTTGTGTGAGGAGTTACAAGCCACAAGAGTTTGAGTAAAATGATAGTGAATTAATCACAGGGTGAAAATGTAGAATTTTGGGGATTTAGAATGGGGGTGCATGAGGCAAGACGGAGGGAACTGGGCATGTCCAGCCTTTCTCCTTCTTCTCCTTGGCCTCCATCTTCTGCTGTGATGGTGGCACTTTTGGATTGGTTTAGAGTAGAAGCTCAGTGTCTAACACAGGTGATAGGTATTGGGAAGTTATTGTAAATATTGTATATGCAGTTTTTAGTATACAGACATAACCCTGCCCTGGGGGCAGGCAGAGCGCCTGGAACTGTCCTGCTGGATGGGCCTCAGCAGGGCAGGAGAAAAATTTTTTATAGATAAGACAAAATAAACAACCTTGAGACCGAGAAATGAAGAGCCCTGACTCCTTCTTTGAGCTATGGGCTGAGAAAAGAGACTTTCCAACTTTTCTTGGAGTCACTCTGACCAATGAGAGATCCCAACAAGTCCTGTCTGTGTGCAGGGCCCTGGTGTGAGGTGTTCTCACCACTTTTAATCCATTAAAGCCCTTTCTTAATATTTCCCAGTCTGCCATCTCAAAATACTGACTCTTTTTTTTGCCCTGTAGACTCTGCAGGGGTGAAATGTAAGAGTTTTCCCCAAGCAAATGTTCAAATCCTGGGGTGGAATGTGAAGCAGAAGCAGTTTTCTTTCCCCTAACCCTGATCTCTTCTTTTCTACAGCCGCAACGGCTCTGCCCTGGGCCAGGTGACTTCCACTGACATCTACAAGAACCCCAAAACCTACAACAAGGTGAGCTGCAGATAAAACACCCTCAGAGAAAATGCTGTTCTTTGCCACTGTTTGCTCTGAGCTCCTGTCTCTGGTGCAGGTCCATGAAGTTAATGGGATTAAAATCATCACCTACTGCTCGCCGCTGTATTTCGCCAACTCGGAGATATTCCGGGAGAAAATCATAGCCAAGGTGAGCAGTTCCTCAACAAATCCCTGCCTGAAGCCAATCCCAAACTGCCCCTGCTCTCTCCTGTGGTGCTGCACAGGGTTAATTCAGCTGTGGATGATCGTGGACAATGGTCACATCCACTCTCTACTCCTCAATCCTCCTCTCCCTGATCCTCAGGGCAGTTGCAGAGCTCATTTTAAAGGTTGTGCCCAAATCATTTTAAGCTCATTTTAAAGGTTGTGCCCAAATCCTGGCAGGCTCCTCCTCCAAGCTCTGCCAAAACAGGAGCATCCTGCTATTCCAAGTCTCTCCCTGCATGTGCAGGTTCCCTGAATTCCAGGAGATGTTTGGATGTCATCAGGATCACCCCACTCCAGTGCCCAGCTGGTGCCCCAGGCTGGGAAATGCCAGGGAAGGAACAGCAGCTCCTCACTCTTGGAACTGACTTTTTAAGGAAAAGAAATATCTCTTTTCCACAGACAGGGGTGGATCCCGGCAAGGTGTACTTGGCCAGGAGGAAATTTGTGAAACAGCAGGGGAAGAGCACAGCACAAGCACCAGCAAAGCTCCCAAAATTCCTGCTAAAGGAGAACAAGGTAACTCAGCTCTGAGTTCCCAAAAGGGTCCCTGTGTCCATGGGTACAGCCCCAAGTCCCCATCAGACAGCTCCTCTTGACATGGGATTTCCTGCACTGTTTTCCTGCCACATTTCCCATCTCTCACCCCCTTTCCTCTCCACCTACATCTCCATTCCTCCCCAAACCTGAAGGTGCAGGAGAAGTGGGAATGGCTGGGAGGCTGGAGAGGAGGCTGGAATGGGAACATGAGGAACAATCTGCAGAAACCAGGCAGCTTTGGCCTCTTTCTCTGGGGCTGTGTCAGCAGTTCAGCCCTTTCAAAGCCCATTGCTCAGCCACCCCAGCCCCATTTGCTTTGCAATGCTGAGAGCACTTTTGAAATAAATGAATCATGGAAATTATCCTAAGTCCAGCCCCAAGGGACAGCCAGGCTGGAGTTAGTCCAGATTCAAACCCTTCATATCATGGGTAGAGGTGCAGTCACCTGTGCCCTGCCCTGACTCTGCACCTCTGCTCTGCCTCAGACCTTGTCTTTGCAAGAGCTCCAGAAGGACTTTGAGAGCGCCTCTCCAACAGACACCAACAACAACCAGACCACTGCCAACGGTGCCAGCATCTCCTACATCACATTCCACCCTCCTGCCCCCGGGGCTGGGCCAGGGCAGAGCCCTGGGGAGCTGGGCAGCAGCAGCAGCACCCTGCAGGGCAGCACCCTCAGCGTGCTGCCCACAGCAGACACTGACCCTGTGCTGGCAGCACCGCCCTACGTCAGCTTCCACACCATCATCCTGGACATGAGTGGGGTGTGCTTTGTGGACCTGATGGGCACAAAGGCGCTGAGCAAGGTGAGTTCTGTGCAGGGACCTTCTGCTCTCTCACATGGAGGTGTTTATGTGCCTCAATTCACAGAATTCACAGAATCACCAGGTTGGAATCACCTTCAAGATCATGGAGTCCAACCCAGCCCCAACAGCTCAACTCAACCCTGGCACCCAGTGCCACATCCAGGCTTTGTTAAACACCCCCAGGGATGGGGACTCCAGAACTTTATCACTCTTTCTGTGAAAAACTTTTTCCTGATACCCAACCTGAATTTCCCTTGAGGCTGTGTGCTCTGGTTGTGTCAGTGCCTGCAGACAGAGCCCAGCCCCAGCTGAGCACAGGCACCTTTCAGGAGCTGCAGAGTGATGGGGGCAGCCCTGAGTCTCCTTTGCTCCAGGCTGAGCACCCCCAGCTCCCTCAGTTGCTCCCACACAGGGCTTGTGTTCCAATTTTCCTCTTCTGCATCTCTGATTTTCTCCTTCAGCCCCAGCACTGATAAAAGTCTTTATGCATGAACACAAAGCTGGAGCAGCAGTGGTTTTAATCCTCTCTCTCCCATCTCATCCCTTCCAGTTGTGTTCCAGTTACCGGAAGATTGGGATCAAAGTGTTCCTGGCAAATGTGCATGGTAAGAATCCCCAAAGAACACATTTCCATGGGATCTCCCCCCATTTCTGAGCTGCTGACAAACAGCAGATCCTTTTCTGTTCTTTATTCAAACTGTGAGATACCAGTCCTTTGCTGGACCAGAACAGATAAAAGGAGAAAACAGAAGAAAGGAAAGAGAATCACTGTTCTCTGTGTGTGAAATCAGTGCTTTCATTTGGGAAGTAACAAAGCTGGAACCCCTCCACACTCAGCATGCAGGAAAGCAGATCCCCACACTCATTTCTGCTGCAAACCTGCTTCTTCTGAGCCTTGCCTGAGCTCAGAGGACCCCAGCAGCCACACACACCTCCAGAATTCCTCCTGGGCTTTCCTCCTCATTCAGCTGTCTCCTTTCTCCAGCCCAGGTGTACGATGACATCAGCACAGGGGGAGTCTTTGAGGAAGGAGCTCTGGACCCAAGTCACATCTTCCTGACCATCCACGATGCTGTTTTGTTTGCACTGGCCAGTATCAGAGAATTTGTCCACCCACCCATCTTGGAAGAGGTAAATTTGCTCCCCAGCCCGCAGGATTCTCCTGTTTGGCCTCCAGGGTGTGTCAGCACAATGAAAAAAATAACATTTTATTGCCTAAAATAACATTTTATTACCTAAAGAAGCTTCATGTTTATCTCAAGCGGTAAAGGCCTAAATCCAGGAAATTATTTAATATTCCAGTTGTTGTGTATGGGCTGGGCACCTTGTGATGGAATGGATTTCCATGGGAAATCAATTTTTTTAGTGTCAATTTGTTTTACACAAACCCTTGGCTGAGAGATGAGTACTGTGCCAGCCTGGAGGAGCCAGAAGAGTTGTTCCAGCACTGTGCCCTCAGTTTGGTGCTGGCTGGAACAGACACAGGCAGAATTTGGCCCCCAGTGATGAAGAAATGAAGGCAAAGCTGGTGCAGCTGGAATAGTCATGGCATCCACGAGTGCTCCACTGGTGGGAGGAGAACAGGAGGAATTCTGAGGCAGGAATGTGGCCCACGCTGGTGGCACAGCACCAGACAGGCTCTGTCCCCAAATAGGGGTTGATTTATTGTGTTCCAGCTGGGGTTGGCACCAGTGGCACCAGTTATCTCCCAGGAGGAGTTAAGGTACCTCCTATCAGAGCAGAGGGATTGGAAATGCAGATAAACACCTGGAGCAGGACTCCTCCTGTGCCCCTTCTCCTGGGCATTTCCCTCAGAGCATGGGTCACCTTTTAGGCCTGGCTTAATCATTGTTTTCACTCCTTTTGGCCCTGCACTCTGCTAATTCGTGGACTCAACTCTTCCCTGCACAGAGGCCGACCCAGACAGAGCTCTCCATCTATGATGAGTCTGTGGATGAGGGCAGTGCAGAATACAAGAACCTGGAGGAGGTGAGTTGTAGTGCCAGGGGTCACTGCAGCCATGGGTACGAGGCAGAAATCAAAACTTCTAATTGGGATTGATTAGATGGGAAACCATCTGGAAGTACTGCAGTGCTCAGTGGAAAGTTAATTGCAAATAGAATTTTAAATCCCTGTCTTGAGGAGCTCTGGAAAGCACCAGGATGAGGAGCAGGTAGGTGACCCCACAGAGGAGTCCTTCAATCCTTCTGGGCCACATGGCTCAGGTTCCATAGGACCCGTGGGCTCCACACATTGTGGGGGGAACTCAGAGAACCAGGTTTGACTCACATCAAAGGCAGAGTCACCAGTGAAGATTTTCAGCACAGGCTTTGTAAATGCTGCAGTGATTTTCACCCACGTGTGGGCCTTGGGAGGAGCTCCCCTCCCTTCCCCGTGCTGCCCATGCCCAGCTGGAAGCTGGAGAAGGGCTGGAGCTCCTGGGGGTGTTTGTGTGACAATGACACTGAGCTGTGCCACCAACCCTGACCCTGCTCATCCTCTGTGCCCTTCAGGAGATGTTTGGGAGCATGTTCCACTCAGAGACCCAGACAGCTCTGTGAGCACAGCGAGCACCAGGCAGACCCTCCAGGGGAGACTCCTCCAGACCCTCCAGAGGAGACTCCTCCAGACCCTCCAGAGGAGACTCCTCCAGACCCTCCAGAGGAGATTCCTCTCTCCCACCCCTCCATGGAGAGCTGTGCTTCTACCTGAGGATGGAACAGGTTTGCAACGAGGCCATCACCCTCCAGAACTGCCAAATCCTCCCTGTTCTGCTTGTGCCAGACCCTCCAGAGGAGATTCCTCCAGACCCTCCAGAGGAGATTCCTCCAGAGCCTCCAGAGGAGACTCATCTCTCCCACCCCTCCATGGAGAGCTGTGCTTCTACCTGGGGTTACAACAGGTTTGCAACGAGGCCATCACCCTCCAGACCTGCCAGATCCTCCCTCCTCCATGCTCTGCTCGTGGCAGACCCTCCAGAGGAGACTCCTCCAGAGAAGAATCCTCTCTCCCCCCCCCCTCTGTGGAGAGCTGTGCTACTACCTGGGGATACAACAGGTTTGCAACGAGGCCAGGACCCTCCAGAACTGCCAAATCCTCCCTGCTCTGCTCGTGGCACCCAGAGCAGAGGACTCTGAGCAGGCAGAGCCAGCTGGGGCAGCAGGGGCTCAGCAGCTGCCATCTGATGGACTCTCAGCTGGAGGCAGGTGCCTGAGCTCAGGGGACGTTCAGCCACCCCTTTGTCCCTCGCCATCCTTCTGCCCACCTGGAATTGCATCCCCTGGCCCTCCTGCTCCTTGCCTTTCCCTCCTCCCTGTATCCCCCCCCAGGTGAAACACAAGCAGACACTGAGAGCCTTTCAGGAGGAGTGGCAGGGCAGCTGTGCCAGCTGTGCCAGCTGCTGCTGCTCTCTGATGTGCACTGACCCCTGCAGCCCCCCGAGTTCCCCTGTGTGTCTCTGCAGCCTCTGCCTCTCCTCTTCTGTGTCCCAGCAGCCCAAAAAACACTGCCTCATACCAGTGCTGTGTTTCTGATACCCCAAAGACCTCAGGACTCTCTCATCAGGGCTAAATTCTGAAATATATATATTTTTTTCTTACTAATAGGACAGGTTTGTACTCAGAAATAAGAATTATGTGCAAGTTGTCCTGCCTGCCCAGCGGGTTGAGTACGTGAAAACTATTTTAAAATTCTATTTCTATTTTAACACTCTAAAATATTACAAATACAAGCAAGCTTTAGTGTGTATGGTTTTGAAGTACACGGATGTTATTGAGCTGATTGCTGAAGGCTTCCTGGGGCTTTCCTGCAGCTCCCACATGTCTCATGTTTAAGGAAAATAGAGTTTCCTGAACCATCCTTGCTAGAAAGTCACTGAAGGAAACAACAGCAGCAGCCTGCCAGTTTGGTTTTATGTAACATCTCAATAACCAAGTCACCATTTCTCTACCTCAATTTCTGATTGTGTGGTGCAGGAGAGTAATAAAACCAAAGGAAGGCAGAAAACACCACTAGCTGATCTTATTTTAATCTTAGACAACAATGGTTTCTCCAGAAATCTCCATGTATAGCTTGTTTTACAAGGTAAAAGCAAGAGATGAAGTCTCTTAAATTATCTCTGAGGGTGATTCCTCATGGCCTTTTGTACTGCCTGAGTGCTCCTTTTAAAAAGTGCTAATTTTGAACGAAAGGCAACGAAGAAATTGGTGCAGAGCAACAAGAAACTGCCCTGATCAATATTTTTGGGTGTCTGAGGCAGCATCAAATTGAAAGAGGGAAGTTCCAGTTCCCAGCTCTACATTCAGGATTCCTTACAGGAGGTTGATTTTTCCAGCCTGGGGTCTGACAGGAAAATGCAGGAATCCTCAGAGCAGAGGCATAAACCAGATTGTATTTCCTGAACTTCCTACAAGAAATGGGATGGGATGTCACAAGAAATGGCTCAGAAACAGCAGAGGTGGCTCTCCTGCAAGTCATGACCCAGGCAGAAGGAAATCCCATTTCTGCAGCCAAATTCTGGGTCAGTTCTGGCAATAAATGTCACACCAGCAGGTAAATGGCACTGCTGGAGGCACAATGTGGCCAAAGTCATAATTCCCAAGTGCCTGGGCAGAGAATTAGGGGAGCTCAAAGTCACGCTGGTGAAATATTTTCAATTCCAGTAAAATATTCCTTTTATTGCTCTTAAGTAACAGTGAGGTTGATGTGGTTTGGCTCTGAAGCCTTACTTGGTAAATGCATGATGTATAACCGGCTCAGAAATGTTTGTAATTTATTTAATTTAATGTTGGTTTCGTTCTTCTTTTTTTTCTTTTTTTTTTTTCTTTTTTTTCTTTTTTTTTTTTTGATAATAAAGAATGTGTGAACAATCATTGTCATCTTCTGCTGACTCAGGGGCAGGATTTCCACGGCTGCTCCCATCTGGTCTTTGGCATCCTGGGACAGCTTGTGCCATGGGAAGCTGGGATAAATCTTCACATTCCATTCAGAACAGCTGTAAAGAAGGGAATAAGAAGGGTTCCATCTTGCTAGCTGGTGGAATCAAGGAAAGAAGTGAGATTATTTTGAAAAGCAGGTGGATTTAAAGTTTGTCAGGAGTGGGGCTGCACAACACAGGGACTCCCTGGCATTCTTCTGCCTCCCTTGTGGCCCCAGTGAGCCTGGGGGTGGTTATTCCCCGCAGGAATTCCTTTTATCCCCATCCTTTGGGAGCAGCACCCCAAGATATTGGGAACAAATTCTTCCTTGTGAGGGTGGGCAGCCCCTGGCACGGGGTGCCCAGAGAAGCTGTGGCTGCCCCACCCCTGGAATTGTCCAAGGCCAGGTTGGAAAGGGCTTGGAGCACGCAGGGACAGTGGAAGGTGTCCCTGACAGCGCAGGGGTGGAATGAGATGGGATTTCAGAATCTTTCCAACGCAAACCATTCCCTAATCAGCGCTTCACTCGGCCGCCCCCACATCCGCTACAAACTACATCTCCCAGCAGCCCCCGCGAGAGCAGCGGGTTACACCCGCCCCTGCTCCACTCCTATTGGTCGCCATGCTGACGAGCCGGGTGGCGATTGGCTCCCGCTCACGCCCATTAGCCGCGGGGGCGCGGCGGTCAGTGATGGCGGGCGGGCGGCGGGCGGTGACGGTGGCGCTGCTGGCACTGGGCACGGTGGTGCTGGCGCTGGTGGCCGCCGTCCTGCTCCGCGCCTTCGTCCTGCGAGCCCCGGCCGGGGTGCCGCGGCTCTGGGCACGGAGCGCCGGCACCGTCGCCCTCAGCGCTGGCGAGCGGCAGGAGCTCAAGGAGGTGCTGCGAGGTGAGGGGGCCCGAGCGCTGTGAGCCCCCCTCGCCCCTCCTGAGGGGGGACCCAGGGCACGGGGGGCGGGTGCGGAGGCGGCCGCTCCCCGGGTGCTTTCCCTGCAAGGAACCGGGTGTTGGCTGCCAGCAGGACTAAGGAAGTGATTGAAAGTCTGTGCTGGGCACTGCTGAGGCCACGCCTCGAGCGCCCTGTCCGGTTCTGGGCGCTGCAGTTCAGGAAGGGCTGGAGCGAGTCCAGGGAGGGGAATGGAGAAACCTGAGGGAGCTGGGAAGGGTTTGGAGAGTCCTGAGGGAGCTGGGAAAGGGTTTGGAGAGTCCTGAGGGAGCTGGGCAGGGGCTCAGCCTGGAGCAAAGGAGGCTCAGGGGGAATTTCTGGCTCTGCACAACTCCCTGCCAGGAGGGGACAGCCGGGGAGCTTTGGGATCTTATCCCAGGGAACAGGGACAGGAGGAGAGGGAACGGCCTCAGGCTGGGCTGGGGAGGCTCAGGTTGGACACAGCAGGAATTTCCTCATGGGAAGGGCTGGAAGGGGCTGCCCAGGGGGGTTTGGAGCACCATCCCTGGAGGTGGCACTGAGTGCTCAGGGTGGGGATCGGGCACAGCCTGGACTCGATGATCCCACAGGGATTTTCCAGCCTCGGCGATCCTGTGCTTCTCCTGAGCCAACTCTTGCCCTGTGTTGATTTTCTCCACCGTTTCCTGCTTGTACACACAGAATTTTGCCAGACAGCCGTGAAGGCGTTTCCAGACATCCCTTTGTCCACGGGATAAGTCACCGTCGGGATTTTCTCCCTCTCTTGTTCTTGCTCACCACTGCTGTGCCCAGTCCTGGGCTGTTTGTGCTGTCTGACGTAGAAGATTTGAAGGGTTTAGCTCTCAGTAGGGCTGGCACTGTGCAGGAAACCACAATCTGGCAGCAAGTGATAAAACCCTGTGTGTAAACCTCATACCTTGCTGGTTTGTAGGATTTATTGCCTAGCAAATTGTGTTTGCATTCTTTTTTTAATGGGAAAACGAAGGCTCACAATAGATTTTTGTGTTAATTCATGAATCACACGACCTCAAAAGAATCCATAACCTCTGCTGGCAGCTGCTGTTTGGAAAGGCAGCTGGGGCTGAGTTACTCCCATGTTCTGCAGGACAGGGACTGGATGCTGGAGAGCCTGTTTAAATGCCAGGGCAGACCAAAAGGGCCAACAGAAGCCCTGTGTGTTTATATAAATTAATTTATAAAGCAGTAGGGAGGTGTAATAACCATCACAACCTGCTTAACTCTTGAGAAAGAGCCTGGGGCTGCCAGCTCAGCTGCCAGAGGAGCCTGTGGCTCTGGGGAATCAGATCACCCAAGCAAACTGCAGCTGCTCCTGGACAGCAGCACTTCTAAGGACATCACTCAACACTTGCAGCATGAAAAGTGGAGTCAGATTGTCTGGAGAGTTGCCTTGGCTGAGCTGTTAGGAAATGCTGGTGGCTGCCTGTGCACGGCCCAGCTGAAGTCTCTGTTTGATCATGGCAGCTCGTGCTGTGCTGTGGAATAATGTTTAAATCCTGGGAGAACACTCAGGAACAGAAATGTGCTTCCACTTGTGAAGTGCAGTTGGAGCTGTGGTTGGTTTTGGTGCTGAGTGATTTCTGTTCTGTGTTTTCTTTGAAGGGGCCATTAAAATCCCAACTGTGTCCTGGTCTCCAGAGGATGTGAATACAACTGCCATGGCAGAATTTGGGAGCTACATCCAGAAAGGTACTGAACTTTCAGTCTTGGCAATTTCTGCTGCTCTATTTTCATAAACAAATTGAAGAGAGCGTGTATCATTCCTGAATATCAGAGATTTTTATACGTTTCCTGAAGAAATGTCCTGTCAGACATGAATGAAGGGATTTCCTGTCAGAAATGTCACATGTGTGTCCCCTCTGTAGCAGTGGTATCAATGGCCCCAAAAGGTTCAAAAGCCTTTTTGTAATGATGGTGTTTGGTCCTTGAGATGGTTAAATGCCATTAAAAAATAAAAGAGCATTTTTCTGCTGCTGCTTCAACCTAATTTTTTGGCAGTTCCATCATTGTGCCCTGCAAAAGAGCTGCAGCACTGCTGAGCAAGAATTCTGCTTTTGTTTGGGAGGCTTTCAAATCCCAAGTGAGATGGATTGGTAGAAGTGTGAGACCTCCTGTGCCCAGTCTTATTTCCAGTTCCCCTCTGATGCTCCCTAGCTGACAACTATTCCATAATGCTAAAATTACCCCTTATTGTTAATTTTTTCCTTCACATGTCTCTTAAATATTTTTATTTTTTTCTTTAACAGTCTTCCCAGCTGTATTTTCTTCCAAGTTCATCCAACATGAAATTGTTGGCAAATACAGCCACCTGTTCAGAGTGCAGGGCTCTGCCCCTGGCCTGCAGCCCTACATGCTGCTGGCACACATGGATGTGGTGCCTGCTCCCCCTGAGGGCTGGCATTTCCCTCCTTTCTCAGCTGCAGAGCACGAAGGCTTCATCTACGGACGAGGAGCGCTGGACAACAAAAACTCTGCCATGGTACTGGGCTGGGTGATGTCCTTCCACACAGACACAGCCTGCCAGAGGCACAGGGGAGTGCCCAGCCTCCTGGAATTCACTCTGGTCTCTCCTTCTCACCCCTCTTTCTGCTAGGGATAAATTCCTAGTTTGGATAAATTCCACATTTTTCCTAAAGATGGGGTCTTCTCACTCACTCTTCACTGTTACTGGAGAAAAGAGGGTTAAAGAATCAGGAGAGTCATATTCACAGATGCAGATGGATTTGGTTCAATGCCAGGTTAAAGTTTTATGGCACAGGGGGCCAGAGAATCCATGGTTGCCCCATCCCTGGGAGTGCCCAAAGCACTTGGAATTCACTGTGGTGAATTCACTCTGGTGTCTCTTTCTCACCCCTCTTTCTGCCAGGGATAAATTCCTACTTTGGATAAATTCCAAGTTTTTCCTAAAGATGGGGTGTTCTCACTCACTCTTCACTGTTACTGGAGAAAAGATGGTTAAAACTCACAAAGAATCAGGAGAGTCATATTCACAGATGCAGATGTGTTTGGTTAAATGCCACTTTAAAGTTTTATGGCACAGAGGGCCAGAGAATCTGTGGCTGCCCCATCCCTGGGAGTGCCCAAAGCACTTGGAATTCACTGTGGTGAATTCACTGTGGTGTCTCTTTCTCACCCCTCTTTCTGCCAGGGATAAATTCCAAGTTTGGATAAATTCCACATTTTTCCTAAGATGGGGTGTTCTCACTCACTCTTCACTGTTACTGATGAAAAGATGGTTAAAACTCACAAAGAATCAGGAGAGTCATATTCACACATGCAGATGGATTTGGTTAAATGCCACTTTAAAGTTTTATGGCACAGGGGCCAGAGAAACCATGGTTGCCCCATCCCTGGGAGTGTCCAGGGCACTTGGAATTCACTGTGGTGAATTCACTCTGGTGTCTCTTCCTCACCCCTCTTTCTGCCAGGGATAAATTCCAAGTTTTTCCTAAAGATGGGGTGTTCTCACTCACTCTTCACTGTTACTGGAGAAAAGATGGTTAAAACTCACAAAGAATCAGGAGAGTCATATTCACAGATGCAGATGGGTTTGGTTAAATGGCACTTTAAAGTTTTATGGCAGAGGTGGCCACAGAATCTGTGGCTGCCCCATCCCTGGGAGTGTCCAGGGCATTTGGAATTCACTCTGGTGTCTCTTCCTCACCCCTCTTTCTGCTAGGGATAAATTCCAAGTTTTTCCTAAAGATGGGGTGTTCTCACTCACTCTTCACTGTTACTGATGAAAAGATGGCTAAAACTCACAAAGAATCAGGAGAGTCATATTCACAGATGCAGATGGATTTGGTTCAAATGCCACTTTAAAGTTTTATGGCAGAGGGGGCCAGAGAATCTGTGGCTGCCCCATCCCTGGGAGTGTCCAGGGCCAGGTTGGAGCAGCCTGGGATAGTGGAAGTTTCCCTTCTTGTGGCACTGGATGAGCTATAAAATCCCTTCCAACCCAAATCATTCCATAATTCTCTGTCAAATGCTGTGTTTGAAACCTTGTCCTTTTTCCCAGGTGTCACAGAGGCACTCCAAGCCAAAACTGGCCCTTTGAAAAGGCTTGAGTTTCAAATTAAACATTTTTATAGAATAAGAAAGACAAACAACCCTGCATCTTTTATCCAGCCTATGGCAGAACAAAGAGCTGTTGCACTGAACACATTTGGGAAGAATGGAGTCAGAAAAGATTGGGAAAGATTTCTCAGGGGGAAAAATGATGGAAAAATGCCTCTGGAAAATGTCCCTTTGAGACTTTGATAATGCCTTCCGTGGCAGCCCGATATTTCAATTTGAACAGATGTTTAGTGTCACACAGGACACACTCCTGGAAAGTTTCAGGATGTTTAATCATCAATTTCAAAGCCTTGAAACTTGAAAGTGTAGGTTGGTGCTTCATTCTGCTGTGAACTGCACAAGTAACTGCACAAATGGCCAAAAAAAAGTCAAATCAACAATTTTAGTGAACATGGCAAAAAATGGGTGCTGACAATTTCGAGGTGATATGTGAAAAATTATTTAAATTGAAAAAGAGAGATGGAATAATAGAGCAAATGTGTGTATTTATATATACTGCCACAGCAAATGGTAGATTTGATTTTTTTGATTTCTCATCCTTCAGATTAATTTTCTTGTTCTGTTTCTGTCATCTTGGCAGCTCCTTAAACCTCCTGGATTTGGTAGCTCCAGAGAGAGCCATTCTGGGTGTGTGACAGGCACTGCAAGGGAGCAGTGAATTCCTGGGTAATTCTGGCTCTGGGGGCTCCTGTGCAGTTTGTCCCTGAACCAGCTGCTCTGTATTTCATGTCCCTCCCCTGGCACCTGCACAGCATTCCTGATCCAAACCACTGCAGGGTCTTTTCCAAGGAATGGGAATATCCTCGCTGGGAGCTGTAGGAACCAAAGCTCAGCAGTGAACAGCACAAACATCCCAAAATTCTCTTCACTCTGCATTCTGTTGCATTTATTCTCCTGGTCAGCCCCAGGGATGGTTCAGCAGTTCTGCTTTTCCTGCAGGGCACTCTGCAAGCTCTGGAGCTCCTGCTCAGGAGGAATTACCGACCCCGGCGCTCCTTCTACATCGCCATTGGCCACGATGAGGAGGTATCGAATTTCCTTTCCTTGCCACACACGCTCCTCTGGGTTTTTCCTTAGAAAGCCCCAAGGACGTTTTGAGCTGAGGCTGTTTCCCACTCCCTTTGCTGTGTCTTCCTTCCCTGTTGAAGGTCCTTGACTGTAACATTTTCCCCTCTCCCTGTGATGGGAGCCCTGGGTCAGTGCAGCCTTCCCTCCTTGCAGCCCCTCATTGCATTTCATTATTGCATTTTCACTTGGGGCCTGCTGTGGGAGGGGTGCAATGGATCTCCATTTTCATCCTATTGCCAAAGCTTGCAGCCAAAGCTGACATTTCAGTGCAGGCCTAAATTGCAAACCCATTTGTGCTCTGCACAAATAATTTGGTTATTTAGAAGCATGATCTCTGCCCTATCTGTTCAGTGCAGGCTGAGTTGGGTTTGCAAAGTGCAAACCCATTTGTGCTCTGCACAAATAATTTGGTTATTTAGAGGCATGATCTCTGCCCTCTCTGTTCAGTGCAGGCTGAGCTGGGTTTGCAAAGTGCAAACCCATTTGTGCTCTGCACAAATAATTTGGCTATTTAGGGGCATGATTCTCTGCCTCTCTGGAATTCCAGACCCTGCCTGTCCTTCTATGTTGGCATTAACCTCAATGAGGAGGTATTTTCTTTCCTTTCCTTGCAACAACAACCTGTTTGCATTGTTCCTCTAGGTAACAGGGCTTAATTTTGAAACATTGTTTAGCTGGAAGGTCTTTCCTGTTTTTCTTGGTTCTGTGGGGAGATAATGTGTCAGGCCCCAGGTCACAGTTATGGATTGATTGTTTGGCTTGGAGTGACATTCACAAAGGGTTTGGTGTGATGAGCAAAGGGAAAAGAACATTGGAGGGTGTCACTTTTAAATTCTTTTCTGCAAGGAAGGTGCAGCAGGAATGCCCTTTTGGAGACAGGAAAAGCTGGGTTGAGATTCACATGGTTGTGCCAAATGTTCAGGAAGAAGTGGCAAATATGGTCCAGTGGTACAGAGAGACAGGGGAGGTGGGTTTGGTTAGGCACTGTCAAAATAGAAACACAAAGAATTGTTAATAGTTGAAATAAACAGGTCTGCAGTTGCTAATCTGGGACTTTACAGCTCTGAGGTATCAAAATGAAAGCAGCAGGCAGTGACTCATCAATAAGAGCACCTCTCATCATGGCTGTAAATTCATCTGCTATCAGGCCATTAACAATCTGCAATTAATTTTCCTGGAAGAATCTTTCATGTTGCTCTGGAGCTGTTCCCCAGGGGATTTCATGCATTCTTTGTGCTGTAGCCAACAGCAAGGTGCTTTCCAGTTTTCCTCCCAGTGTTTTGGCTGGATCTGATCAGTTCCTCTGCCTGGATTGCACAGGTGTCTGGGCTGAAGGGAGCAAAGAAAATTGCAGCTCTGCTGGAAGCCAGAGGAGTGAAACTCTCCTTCCTGCTGGACGAGGGGAGCGCAGTGCTGGATGGCATCATTGCAGGGGTGGAGAAACCAGTGGCTGTGTAAGAGTGACCACCAGAATGTGACTCATTTTCAGTCCTTAATTAGTGATAATGACATTGGTGATATCACTACAGAACGTTTGCAGGACATTGGTGCTGCTGGAGCTGCAGCAGTGGCACAAAGTGCAAGGCAGGGACCTTCAGCCTTTGCCTGCTGTCCATCACAGTCATGCTGACAGAGGCACAATGTTCCACTGAGCATTTGGATTCTGTGCTGAAGAATTCTGCTCTGCTCCCTGCACAAGCAGCCCAGCCACCAGTCCTGCAGAGATCTAAACACTGTGTTAATGATTTGTTGTTGCTGCTTGAGTGGCTTTTATCATACTAAAACTATGCAGAGTAGTTATTTTTATCTACAGTCTGTGTGTGTGTGTGTGTGTGTTTGGAATTACATTAGTCATTTATTTGTTAATTAATTGATTAATTTATCGTTGTCCAGGATTGCAGTCACAGAAAAAGGTTCAATGACACTGAACTTCACAGTGGAAAAAGAGCCAGGGCATTCATCCTTTCCCCCTAAGGAGACAAGTATTGGCATTCTGGCAGCAGCCATGTCCAGGTGAGAATTTCCCTGCCACCCAATGCCAAAAACAGTCCAAAAACCTCCTGAATCACTGATATGTGACTTTTTAAATATTTGTGTTTGGAGTCTTTTTCAAGCTGCTGTTCTATATCTGCAATTGCAGTTTGTAGCTCACTTTGAAGGGCAGAAATGAAACTCCCAGCCAAGGGACAATTGCCAGGTGTCTGCAGAGTCTTTGCACTTCAGCTGTTCCAAGTGTCAGCCAATTCTTTAAAAGCAAGACAAGTGCTGTCTGCCCTAATTTCCTCTGTAGCAACAGAGATTCCATTGTTTGGGTGCAGGATTCCTCTGGAATTTGTTCCTACCTCAGCTGGGAATTCTCCAAGCCAATGAACAGGGAGCAGAGTCATAACGTGACTGCAGGAATCATCTCTCTACATCTCTGTGCAGATACCAAATTGGCTAAGAAATGCATATTTTAGAAAAACTGAGTATGTCCAGACCTGCTGGGATTTGTGTGCTAGTTTTCTGGATTTCCATGTATTTATAGCAGCCAGGCTTTGGGATTTTTTCTGCTGTTTCTCCAAGGAAATCTTTGCACGTGACTGGAATGCCCAGAAATCTGTGGAGCTGTGCCTGCAGTCACTTACCAGGAGAGCAGAGTGTGATTACATCTCCAATCACAGAGATACATTTCACAAATCAAATTCCTGCCATCCTTCTGGAGCAGCAACAGCCAGAGAATTGTTTTTGAACCTTTTCAGCGTTGCAAACATGAACAATTTGTTTTGTAGGCTGGAGCAGAATCCCTTGCGCAACCTGTTTGGCCACGGCCCTGAGCTCATGACCATGGAGCACCTGGCAGCAGAGGTGAGGACTCAGGCAGGATTTCATTCCCAAATTTCCACCAGAAATTGAAGAATTTAGTTGTGTAGAAAGGATCAAAAAAGCTGGTTTTTCACCCAGATTATTGTTGCTGCTGGGATTGTTTTGTCCATATTCAGGTGACTCCAGCACGCTCTTGACAAATGAAAAGTTTCTGATTTGTGCTTTTGTTTCTTGCCCTTAGTTCAAGTTTCCTCTCAACATCATCATGAGCAATTTGTGGCTGTTCTCACCTATTGTCAGCAGGTAAGAAAAGAGATCCTTGATAAACATCCCCAACCTCTGAGCCTTAAAAGATGAAGCCATTTCTAATCTTCCCAGGAAAACAGTTATTTTATAGTTTGGATAATTCAGTGGTTTCCTGTTAATAACCACTTTGTTAATTGAATAAGCCATCATCCAGCTTATTGCCTGTGCAATTCTGGTGCTTAATTTTTAGCAATATTCAACTTATTGGAAAAATTGGGTTTGATTTGTTTCTATTTTTGTAGAGTCCTTGCCTGGAAACCTTCCACCAACGCCTTGATCCGAACAACCACTGCAGTCACCCTGTTTAATGCAGGAATCAAGGTACTTCATTTGGGTTTTTCTCCATGTAATTATGATGAGACAATTAGGACATTTCATTTCCACCTATTTAAGTCCAGTTCTAAGATCAGTGTGGGCCCTGTGTGGTGCCACAGTCTCATTCTTACCTCAGATACAGCTTGGGTTTGAAGATCACAGTTGAAAATCTCTCTCAGAAGTATCTGATCTCTGCCCACCACTGTTAAAATTCTTAATATTTCAGCATAGACCAGAAAATGTGGTTTCTGCATAATCCTACAGAGGCAATATTTGAAACTGTCACAGTCACCAACGCTTCCCTGACCCAGACATCTGCAGCACAGGTCTGGGGTTTGTCTGAAGTGTGTTAAATGTGCACCTTGGACTGAGAGATAACAGCCAGATCCTTCCCTGATAAGGAGGTGGAGCTGTCCAAAAATCCTGGAGCCCTGGAAAACAAACAGGCTGTGTTTGGTGTGTGTCTGAAAAATCTGGGACTGAAAAGCATCCCTGGACAGGAGAAGATGCAGTGGCTGAACAGTGACACGGAGTGGCCAGGAGGGAAGTGACACCCTGGTTCCTTGGGGTTCTTTCTAAAGATTTCATGAAGATTCATAATCATAAAGATTCAACTTTTGTTTAACAAAGTTGTAAATATTCAGTCTGTAGATAAAAAGAGTTATGTGTTCAATAAAAATCAGTTGTTAAGCAACTTACATTTACCCAAATATGTAATGTGACAGTGAGGTAAAAATAACACTTAAAAAACCTCAGAGTTTCAGGATTTCTCAGTATAAATGTTCTGAAGGGAGAGAGCTTAGCTCAAGATAAAAACTTCTAGAGAAGTAACAGGTAACTTCATTTCTGTTGATTTGACAAATATTTCTTTGTGTATTTAGCTGCATTTTAGATAGGATTTACAGTGTTTTAACACAGAAAGAGACATCACACTTGGTGTTAACAGTGGAGCACCTGAGGCCTGAAGCTGTTGGAGCAGTTCTGAATTTTCAGCTGGCATTTTATTCTGGTTTTCATTTCCTTTTAAACTTTGGCCCTTCCTTTTTTCCAGGTGAATGTCATCCCTTCCTCTGCCAGAGCCACAGTGAACTTCAGGATCCACTCAGCTGAGACAGCTGCTGAGGTAGCCCTGGGCAGATCCCCTCAGCCTTTGTGGCCCAGAGCACGTGGATCATCTGGGATATGGAAGGGGTTTGTGACCTGGCACAGTTTGGGGACAGTTTGGGGATCTTGGACACCTCGGGATGTCTGACAGGCCTGTCCAACCCAGGGCACCTGGGAAACAAAAGCTCTTCCCTCCCCAAGCCTTTGCTGGGAGTTTCTCTCTCTGGAAGCTTTTTCTGGATTATTTGGATGCCATAATTCCCAAGAGCAGCAGGCTGAGCTCCTGCCTTCCAGGAGTGCCTTGAGACAGAGATTAAAACTGCACCTGAAATGTCAGCCATGACTCAGAAGAGGAGCTGAACACACTGCAGCCACAACTGCCAGCTCACAGACAGAACATCTGCTGATGTCTCTAAGGGCTGCTTTCTCATTTCTTGTGTTCCTCTTGTCTCTGTGTCTCACCCCCAGGTGCTGGAGACAGTCAGGAGCACCATTGCTGATGAGAGAGTGAAGATTGATGTGGTGGAGGCCTTTGACCCCCTGCCCATCAGCCCTTGGGATGAGCAGACATTTGCTGTCCATATTTTCCAAAAAACCATCCTGGACACTTTCCCAGCTGTTGACAGTGTGGTCCCAGGTGACAGCAGGCACATGATGATTATTGTTTCCTCTTTTTGCTTTTCCTTTCTCCAGCTCTGCCTTGTTTCCATTTGCTGTGTACTCCTCCACCCCAGCTGTTAACTGCTGGAAACAGCTGTTTTTTCCTCTTTTTATTCCCTTCCCTCTTTATGCTTTAAAAGTTTTCATGTTGTTTTTTAGTAGTGGAAGTAAAAAAGCAAACAGGAAGCTGACAGAAACAATGAGCCTTGAATTGGGCTCTCTACACACACAAAGGAATCTCTTCAGGGAAGAAAGGAATTGTGAGGGAGAGGAGGAGTCTTCTTGCTTCAGTTCTTCTTTTATTGTTTTCATAGCTGCCAAAGCCATTCCTGCTTTTCTGTATTGTTCCTTATGATCCCAGCCCCTTCCCTTTCTTGCAGCTCTTTCCTAGCTCTGCAGTTCTTGGATTGAAGTTTGAAGTTTGCATTTTTTGGATTGAAGTTTGAAGTTTGCATTTTTGGATTGAAGTTTGAAGTTTGCATTTTTTGGATTGAAGTTTGAAGTTTGCATTTTTGGATTGAAGTTTGAAGTTTGCATTTTCGGATTGAAGTTTGAAGTTTGCATTTTTTGGATTGAAGTTTGAAGTTTGCATTTTTTGGATTGAAGTTTGAAGTTTGCATTTTTTGGATTGAAGTTTGAAGTTTGCATTTTCGGATTGAAGTTTGAAGTTTGCATTTTTTGGATTGAAGTTTAAAGTTTGCATTTTTGGATTGAAGTTTGAAGTTTGCATTTCTGAGTGTCAGAGCTGTTCTTGGGCTGAGTTGTGTGTTCAGCTCCATGTTCCCCAGTACCAATCACTGTTTCCAGGGATGCTTTTGGTGCAGGCAGAGCAGGACTGTTTTCTTTGCTCTCCCTCTCTCCTGGGGAGAGGTGGGGCACTTTTTGAAGCTCACTTGTTCCTCCCCTGCAGAACCAACCTGAGCTTTGTTTTCCAGGCACGTGCATTGGAAACACGGACAGCAGGCACTTCACCAACGTCACCAAGGCCATTTACAGGTTCAACCCCCTGCTCCTGAAACAGGATGATCTCCCCAGGTACTGAGCTCTTGGGGTGGGCCCAGGCAAAGAGGAGATCCATGAGCAGAAGGAAACCCAGCCTTGTGTACCTCCCATGCTGTCCTGCCACCATTTCCTGCAGATTTGGGGATGGAAATTGCATTGGGACCACGTCAAGTGGCTTTTTATTCCTTCAAATTCAGCCAGAACCCATTGAGGTGTTTGATTCTGTGCTGCTTTGGGTCCTTTGTGTGCTGCAGCAGTGTGAGAGGTGCTGGTCTGGTAGTTGGCCTTGTCCTGCAGATTTATCCACATATTTGGACACTCTGAATTGATTAGAAATTTCCTGAAGTTATGTGATAACAACATCATCATGCAAGGGATTGATTGCTTATTTAAATTTCTCATTTTATTGAGGTGCAGATGATGCAGGGGTGTTCTGCTGTACAGGAATGGCCAAGAGATGAGCCTTTAGGATTTTTTCAAGATTAGAATTTTAGATTTTTTTCCAGACTCAGCTGTTGGGCTCTGAGCCTTTGAATCAGTACATTTGGGTTGGTTACAGTGCAGTTTTTGGGCTATATTGCTGTGTTTTTCTCTTGGTTACAGTGCAGTTTTTGGGCTATATTGCTGTGTTTTTCTGTTGGTTACAATGCAGTTTTTGGGCCATATTGCTGTGTTTTTCTGCTGGTTACAGTGCAGTTTTTGGGCTATATTGCTGTGTTAACTATTGGGATATATTGCTGTGTAACCAGTGCAGTTTTTGGGCCATATTGCTGTGGTTTTTGTTGGTTACAATGCAGTTTTTGGGCCATATTGCTGTGTTTTTCTGTTGGTTACAGTGCAGGTTTTGGGCTATATTGCTGTGTTTTTCCGTTGGTTACAATGCAGTTTTTGGGCCATATTGCTGTGTTTTTCTGTTGGTTACAATGCAGTTTTTGGGCCATATTGCTCTGTTTTTCTATTGGTTACAGTGCAGTTTTTGGGCCATATTGCTGTGTTTTTCTGTTGGTTACAATGCAGTTTTTGGGCCATATTGCTGTGTTAACTATTGGGATATATTGCTGTGTAACCAGTGCAGTTTTTGGGCTATATTGCTGTGTTTTTCTGCTGGTTACAGTGCAGTTTTTGGGTTATATTGCTGTACAGTGCAGTTTTTGGGGCCATATTGCTGTGTTTTTCTGTTGGTTACAGTGCAGTTTTTGGGCTATATTGCTGTGTTTTTCTGTTGGTTACAGTGCAGTTTTTGGGCTATATTGCTGTGTTTTTCTTTTGGTTACAGTGCAGTTTTTGGGTTATATTGCTGTACAGTGCAGTTTTTGGGCCATATTGCTGTGTTAACTATTGGGATATATTGCTGTGTAACCAGTGCAGTTTTTGGGCCATATTGCTGTGTTTTTCTGCTGGTTACAATGCAGTTTTTGGGCCATATTGCTGTGTTTTTCTGCTGGTTACAGTGCAGTTTTTGGGCCATATTGCTGTGTTTTTCCGTTGGTTACAATGCAGTTTTTGGGTTATATTGCTGTGTTTTTCTGCTGGTTACAGTGCAGTTTTTGGGCCATATTGCTGTGTTTTTCTGCTGGTTACAGTGCAGTTTTTGGGCTGTATTGCTGTGTTTTTCTGCTGGTTACAGTGCAGTTTTTGGGCTGTATTGCTGTCTTTTTCTGTTGTGCACTGCTTTATGAAACCAACAGCCAAGCAAGGTGCTGGGTTTGATTGCAATTGGATCAGAAATTCCCCATGACCTGAAAAATGTCCTTTTTTCTTTCAGGATCCATGGGTTAAATGAGAGAATCTCTGTTGAGAATTATGAGAAGCAGGTGGAGTTCCTCTTCCAGCTGATCAAGAACTGTGACATTGAGGCACTTCCAGAGCCCCACGCCAACTCCCACGAGCTCTGAGCCACTTGTGGGAGAAGCAGCTGCAGGTGGACCCTGGGACAGGGGCTGAAGATGGAGTTTTGTCTTGAGTATTGAGCTACAGCTGGAATTTGGGTTTTTTTATACTGTGGTTTACATACAGATGGGAAAAGTGCTGGTTGTGTGATAGGAACCTGATAGCCAAACCCAACAAATAACTCTGATTTCTGTGGTCTGATGTGCAGCCATTAATCTGGCACTAATTATTTTCAGCACTTTAAACCTCTGAAATTGATAATCACTAAAAATCTGAGCTATAACCAGCAGTCACTCACACTAGAAGCTGACTCAGCCTGTGTGCTTCTGACCAACTCCTTTTTTATGGTGAATGGATGTGTCTCAGGTGAGGACTCTGCCAGGAGCTCATGGGGAGGGTTTGTGGGGTGCTGAAAGGGTTCCTGCCACTGGTACAGCCACACTGAGAGGTTCTTGCACTGCTGCTTCCCAGGGGATGCTCCCAGGGGATGATCCATGGCACTCTGAGCCAGGGGCAGTGCTCACTCCCATGGCTGCACTGATTTCTGACTCTATTTTCAGGTACTTCAAAACTTCTGTGTTGCTGTAACGGAGGAGGTGCTGAAAACTTTCCTGTCCATCGTTCTAGTGATGATTTTTGTTCCCTCCATGGCTCCTGGTGTGGCTCAGGGTGTTTTGTGCAGCTGGATGTCAGAATAAGGGACTGCAGCTTTAAATAAGGAATTAAATCCCTGTTGTCTGCTCATCTCTTTTCTCATTGAATCACTTTATGCTTCCCCTTTGCTCTTCTGAAAACTTGATTGTGAAAGATGTGAAACCTTCCAGTTTCTCCCAGTTCAGTGTTCACTCCCATGGCTGCACTGATTTCTGACTCTGTTTTCAGGTACTCCAGAACTTCTGTGTTGTTGTAACTGAGGAGGTGCTGAAAACTCTCCTGTCCATCATTTTAGTGATGATTTTTTCCTTCCCCAACTCAGGGTGTGTTGTGCAGCTGGATGTCAGAATAAGGGATTGCAGTTTTAAATAAGGAATTAAATCCCTGTTGTCTGCTCATCTCTTTTCTCATTGAATCACTTCATGCTTCCCCTTTGCTCTTCTGAAAACTTGATTGTGAAAGATGTGAAACCTTCCAGTTTCTCCCAGTTCAGAGGGCTCTGAGGTTTGTTCCTTCACTGTCAGTGCAAGCAATTTCCACTTTCCTGCTGTTTTTTGGGAACCCTGGGCAAGGCAGGCATGGATGTTGATCCTGCTTCATCTTGCACTTCTTGCCCACCTATGGCAGCACTGAAGGGTTCAGCATTCCTTTGGCCTTGGCAGTTGGGGTTACCAGTATTAATTAGACAAATAATTTATTTAATTAAATTAATTGTATCAATAAAAGTGATGTTAGCCAAAGAAAAGCCTGGATCCTGGGGAAGGCAGGCATGGATGTTGATCCTGCTCCATCTTGCACTTCTTGCTTACCTATGACAGCACTGAAGGGTTCTGCATTCCTTTGGCCCTGACAGTTGGGGTTACCAGTATTAATTTAGACAAATACCAGTAATTTAGACAAATAATTTATTTAATTAAATTAATTCTATCAATAAAAGTGATGCTAGCCAAAGAAAAGCCTGGATCCTGGGGAAGGCAGGCATGGATGTTGGCTCTGCTTCATCTTGCACTTCTTGCCTACCTATGACAGAACTGAAGGGTTCTGCATTCCTTTGGCCTTTGCAGTTGGGGTTATCAGTATTAATTAGATAAATAATTTATTTAATTAAATTAATTCTATCAAGAAATAGTTCACAAAGTGATGTTAGCCAAAGAAAAGCCTGGATCCTGGGGAAGGCAGGCCATGGATGTTGGCTCTGCTTCATCTTGCACTTCTTGCCTACCTATGACAGCACTGAAGGGTTCAGCATTCCTTTGGCCTTTGCAGTTGGGGTTACCAGTATTAATTTAGACAAATACCAGTAATTTAGACAATTTATTTAATCAGTTAATTAAAATAATTCTATCAGGAAATAGTTCACAAAGTGATGTTAGCCAAAGAAAAGCCTGAATCCTGAGGGAGGCAGGCCATGGATGTTGATCCTCCTCCATCTTGCACTTCTTGCCTACCTATGACAGCACTGAAGGGTTCAGCATTCCTTTGGCCTTGGCAGTTGGGGTTATCAGTATTAATTAGACAAATAATTTATTTAATTAAATTAATTCTATCAAGAAATAGTTCACAAAGTGATGTTAGCCAAAGAAAAGCCTGAAAGCTGCTGTGTGCCAGTGCCAGTGCCTGTGCTGCAGGGACCAGTGCAGCACCTCCTGCTGCACAGATGGGTCTGTTTATCAGAGCCTAAATCATGCACTGGAATGGGTGGATGTTCTGCTTTAAATTCACACTGTGAAATGTGCTGGAATGTACAGGAAATACCCTGAAATGCATCCTGAAAAACACTGATGGAACTGATGTGATTCCAGTTCTTTCCGTTCACTTATTTATTTGTAGTCTGATCTTATCACTGTGGCCAGAGGGCTCCAACTGTATCACTGAATAATTGAAACAAAACTGACAGTTTCATCTAATAAAATGAGGAATGTGAATTCTTTTCTGATGATTATTTCTCCTTTTTATGTAGCTGTGTAATTGCAGTGAAGTCATTTCCACACCTGAGCAATCCATGAAGTTTCCATCCAAACAAACCCACCTATTTTCCAGCCAGCTTTAATCTTGGCTGCCTTTTCTACACACAATCAGCTCACCCTGGCCAGGCATTGTTGGGCACTAAATCGTTTGCACCTTTTCTGGTTTGCTACACTTTGTGATTTGTTCAGGCACGTGGCTGGGGCTCTTTTGTGGAGGTGTCGCTGCTCCTGGGAGCTCCTGTGTGCAGGCACAGCAAAAGTGATGTGTCAGGGCACAGCACTGAATGGAGCACAGCCCTGGCAGTGGGAGGTGCACAGAAGGATTTGTTGTTGTTTTTTTCTCTGGCAAATCTCTGTAAAACTGAGTTTAAAGCCTTTGCTTTGGCTGTAGAGGGGAAATATTGTTTAACAGCTGATGGTTGTGTTGCCAGTCAGAGGGAAAACAGGGAGAAAATGGGAAAAAATCCCATGAGAGAGCACAGGTTGTGAAAGTGCTGACCTGGGTCATGCTGCTGAGGTGTGGAAGGAGGGATTTCTTGCCTGTTGTACCAGCAAATATGTCCTAAAGACATAAAGCATCTTTATATTCTGTAATCTTCCCCCAGCCAAAACCCCCTCACCTCTCTTCTGGTGAGGATTGTTTCTTTAAAGGAAGAAAATTCATTTTGCTGCTGAAGGAGCAGTGAAGGGCAGAGGGTGCTGGGAAGGCAGGGCTGGGTTTGGCAGCTCCTGGTGAATGTGTGCCCTGAGATTTGGCTGGGGCAGCTCCTTGCAGAGCTCATTGAGTGCAGCTCCTCAGCCAGGCCTGGGATCTCGCAGGGCCTCTGCACTGGGGATGTGCTCAGCAGAGCTTTGCTGCCACCTCAGGGGCCACTAAAGTGCTTTAAACAGAGCCTGATCCGCTGGGGAAACTGCACATTCCCATCTTTACCCATTTTCCCATCCCTTCTGATGATTATCCCTGCTTTTTCCATGGGCAGCTTGGCCTTTGTGCTCTTTAAGCCTCTTTATTTTATCACATTTGCTGCCAGGTCGTGGTTGTGTGACACAGTCCCAGGGAGTCCCTCAGTGTTTGGTGTCTGCACAGATCTCTCACAGTCCCAGGGAGTCCCTCAGTGTTTGGTGTCTGCACAGGTCCCTTCCCACCCCATTTCCCTGTACAAGAGATGCTGCTGAAAATGCCACTTTTCCTAAGCAGAGTGTGAAATTCCCATCAATAACAACAATAATATGAACGATGCCTTTTCTGTTCATATCCCCTCCAAGCTTGCATGGTGTGAGCAGCTACTGGAGAGTGCCAAGCACATGATGAAAGCACAGAGAGTGACTCCAGGAGCTATTCTTTTTGTGCTGCAGTGAGTCACCGTGCCTGGAGCAGGGAGAGCAATTACCTCTGACTCAGAGAAGGAAGGAAGAGCCTGATTTTCTGCTCTGAACTCAGGTAACTCAGTCATGCTGACAGATGTGATTGGAGCACTGTGTTAGCCCAATTCCAGCGTGTGGTACAGCCATAACAACTCCATTTTTGCCCTGTTTTTCCCCAAATCTGCACAGCTTACATTCCTGTGCCAGCACTGACTCCAGGTGAGCTGTGTGAGGTTGTCAGGCTGCTGAGGGCCAGCTGAGCTGGGCCTGCTGCACCCTGGGGAAAAGGTCACATCCCACACCTGCATTTTCTAAAGAAAGCTCTGTTGCTGGGCTCTCTTTAACAGAACTTGCTTTATTTTCAGCCCCAAGTGGCCGTGGGGAGTTCAGGCTCAGAGCTGGAGGAACAAGGTGTTTACAGAGTTATTTCCTCCAGCTTTGCATTTGACACTTGCATCCTTGACTCCTCTCTTGCTGTTTCATTTGCTATTTCATGGAGCTGCTGAAATCCATTTTCTCCAGCAGGTGCTGTGAAAATTTCCCTGTCTCAGTGCTGTGGGGTGAGACAGGCACTGAGAACCTGGAGGCTGCTCAGCCACACCCTGTGCTGATAGAGAGGAGCATTCCTCACCTGCAGCTCAGTCTGTCACCCTGAATTCTCGAATTTTCACTGCTCTTCCTGCTGCTGCTTGAACCCTTCACAAATTCTTGCCAATCTCTTCACCCTTTGCTGGTACTCTGGAACTTTTACAGAATTTTTGTCCCTTCAGTCCCGAATTCAGGCTCTTGCATCAACCCTTTGCAGATGTGCTGCTGTGAGGTGTCTGCAGCATGTGCCACCATCTCAGGGCCTGCAGTGGTGCAGAAATGCTGCCCAGGGGATGATTTTCCTGGCTGGGCAGCTCAGGGAGGGCTGTGTGACACTGGAGCAGGGGCTTGGCTCAGCTTTCCGCTCCCACAGAGATAAAGGGCTCAGCCTGCTGGGGAAGGGAGGGCCCTGCTCCCTGCAGATCCCTCTGCTGATTGCAGGGCTGAGCTCAGAGCTGTGCTGGGGGGCCCAGAGGAAGCTGCAGTCACTTCTCAGCAGGAAGGAAAATGAGCACATGGAAGGGTGGTTAGAGCAAGGGGGCAGGGGACAAAGGGAAAATGCTCTTTGGCACTCAGGGGTTGCTCACAGGGCAGGGGGTCTTACAAGTGACATTCAAACCATGCAGCTTTTCTCAGGGTGCTTCTCATGCCTCTTTTATTGATGTTTTTAACCCAGCACAATGCTGTGGTTCATTGCAGCCCTGTACATGCTCAGATCCCTTGAACACTGTGCCTGGCCTTGCACTACACAGATGATCCCATGGAGAGGCCTGGCTCAGATATTGTGGATCTGATCTCCTCCCACTTGGATTTCTAAATGTTGGTACTGCAGGACTGCCTTGTTGTATGTAAACATGTTCATCCAAAATCCTCTTTGGGATTTTGGGAAGTGAGAGTGTCTTCATGGAAATAGGAGGGACTTAAGAGATTATTGTGTATTTTTTTTTTAATTTTTTTTAATTTTTTTACTATCCCATGGAGAGGCCTGGCTCAGATATTCTGGATCTGATCTCCTCCCACTTGGATTTCTAAATATTGGTACTGCAGGACTGCCTTGTTGTATATAAACATGTTCATCCAAAATCCTCTTTGGGATTTTGGGAAGTGAGAGTGTCTTCATGGAAATAGGGGGGAATTAAGAGATTATTGTGTTTGGTTTTTTTCTAATTTTTTTTTAATTTTTTATTATCCCATGGAGAGGCCTGGCTCAGATATTCTGGATCTGATCTCCTCCCACTTGGATTTCTAAATGTTGGTACTGCAGGACTGCCTTGTATGTAAACATGTTCATCCAAAATCCTCTTTGGGATTTTGGGAAGTGAGAGTGTCTTCATGGAGCAGGAAATAGGGGGGAATTAAGAGATTATTGTGTATTTTTTTATTTTTTTAAATTTTATTTTTTTATTATCCCATGGAGAGGCCTGGCTCAGATATTGTGGATCTGATCTCCTCCCACTTGGATTTCTAAATGTTGATTCTGCAGGACTGCCTTGTTGTATGTAAACATGTTCATCCAAAATCCTCTTTGGGATTTTGGGAAGTGAGAGTGTCTTCATGGAAATAGGGGGGAATTAAGAGATTATTGTGTATTTTTTTTATTTTATTTTTTTATTATCCCATGGAGAGGCCTGGCTCAGATGTTCTGGATCTGATCTCCTTCCACTTGGATTTCTAAATGTTGGTACTGCAGGACTGCCTTGTTGTATGTAAACATGTTCATCCAAAATCCTCTTTGGGATTTTGGGAAGTGAGAGTGTCTTCATGGAAATAGGGGGGAATTAAGAGATTATTGTGTATTTTTTTATTATCAGTCTCTGGCCTGGCCAGTTTGTGGTATCAGTGTTTTCTTCAGCCTAATTCTGGCCATAAAAGCATTTCCTCCCAGCCCATTAGTGGAACACAGCTGCCATGTGAGGCACATCCCCAGTGGCCCCTGGCAGGTGTCCCTGTCCCTGCTGCCCCACCGGATCTGCCGACCTTGTGGAGCACAGGAAAGCCAGGCCCAGGTGCTCTCACGTGGCCACCAGGGAGGGACCTGCCAGGGGCTGCCCCGTGTTTGTCACAGCAGCCCCAGCACGTGGGGGACCCAGGAGCACAGCTGGGACCTTGGAAAAAAGGATGGAGATGGGTTTGTTTGCTTCCAGGCTGGCAAAACAGGAATCCTGGAGCTGCATTGCTGCCCCAGCTCAGGGCCAGCTGCTGACGTGGTTCCCTGCCCTTGTGAGCTGCTTGTGCCCTGCAGTGACATCTGAGGGGACAGGTCCTGCTCCATAACCTGCCCAGGTTTGTTTTCCTGCTGAGGTTCTTGTTTGGAAGGAATTAAGAACCCAGTTCCTGTCACACTGATTTTCTAAGATTTTCTAAGCCTTCTGATGTTGACGTTCTTGTAACAAACTTTCTCACACCCCTTCTGTAAATAACTGATTGTTTTGTGTTCTTTTATAGAAGAAGAAAAATGTAATAAACTGTTGGTTTGCCCAGTGTCATTGGAGAGGTGGCACTGTCACCCTCCAATCCACTGTCACTTTTAGAAAACTATAAATGTTGGAGTCAGAAAATAAACTTCCCTTTCCTTCACCTTGAGAGCAGCAGTGTGTGCTCTCGTGTTGTTTCATGTCCTGCAGGGACAAGTTCCCTCAGGATCCTTGCTGAGGAGCAGCTGGGGCTCCATTGAGGCAGTGCTGGAGCCAGGACAGGGAGCAAAGGCACCTCCCAAGGCACTGACACTTCTCTATCAGGACTTTTAAAGTGATTTTGGCCAAACCCTTTTATCCTGCTGGATTCTCCTGTGAATCCCTGAGGCCATTCCTGAGTGCTGGCCCAGAGCTGGGCAGTTCAGCAGGGCCAGAATCACGTGGCTGCTGTAAAACACACGGGCACCACATTCCAGGAGACATTCCAGGATCCAGCTCAGCTCAGTGCTCAACTCCTTCCTTTCCAAACGTTTTTTGTTGCCTTTGCTACCTGCTCCCTGCAATTGGAAACCCAATTTCCTGCCCTTTCATCCTCTGCTTTTTTTGATCTCAGCCTCGCTGGGGGAGGTTTTATCTATTTCTGTTTTCTTGTCTCAGGCAGCTTTTGTCCCCACACTTCCACTTCCTGAGCCTGCAGCTGGGGAGCAGTGAGGTCACATTTGGGTGCACGTTGTTTTTGGGGAGGTGAGGGAAGAATTGAGGCTCCATCCCGGGGGAGGGATGGATTTTCTGAGTCAGGAAGGAAAGATGAAGGTGGAAGCAGAGCCTTGCAGCCAGGTTTGTTTGGACAAAGGAGGATGGAGGAAGGGTTTGGAGCTGCAGTCCCAGCTGGGCATGGCAGTTGGCTGTGGCTGGAGTTGTGTCTTGAAATGTCTCAAGTTTTCCATGAGGTTTCTTTGCTGCTGAGAATGAGTGAAATGACCCCAAAGGCTCCTCATCCCTGAAATCCCAGAATCCCTGGATGGTTTGGGTCGGAAGGGACTTCACACTCCTTCCTTTCTAGGGAAGGAGTTTTTCTAGACCCCTTTCCATTCTACCCCTGCCATGGGCAGGGACATCTTCCTCCATCCCAGGCTGCTCCAAGCCCTGCCCAGCCTGGCCTTGGGCACTGCCAGGGATCCAGGGGCAGCCCCAGCTACTCTGGGCACCTCCCAGGGAGGAATTCCTTCCCAAATCCCATCTATCCTGCCCTCTGCCAGTGGGAATCCATTCCCCTTCTCCTGCCACTCTCTGCCATATAAAAAGTCCCTTTTCAGTGCTGCTTTCTCAGTGCTTTCTGCTCCACAGGGTCCTCTCATCCTCTTCTCCAAAAGCACCAAATCCTCCAGGAGAACACCTCACTGTGCCCAGTTTTTGATGGAAGCAGACAGAACTGGAGCAGCAGAGCTTTGGGTGACAATAAATCCCTGCCCAGCACTGCTGCTGTTTCCTTGAGGAATGAGTGAAGTCAGCAGCTCCAGGCAGGCTGAGTCCCTGGATCCATGTGGGAATGTGCCCTCCCCTTCCCCCCCACATTTCCAGTGTCCCAGGCACCCTCATTGGCCCAGATTGTGTCTCCAAGGCCTGGAGCTGGGCTCACATCATCACCCTGAGCAATAACTCGCTGCTGCCTGTTTCCTGGGAGGAAAGGAAAGGCAGGAAGGAAAAACAACGGCTCAAAATTTCCACTCATGACAAGAAAAAAAAAAAAAAAAAAAAAAAGGGGAAATAAAAGGAAAGCATGAATCAGAGCTGGTTCATTCAGGAACACAGAACTCTACAGAGCAACAAGGACCTGACCTCTGTAGCAGGAGTTTTTATGCTCTTTATTTATTTGTTGTGGGACAGTTTGGCAGAATAGAGGCAGAGTACGTGACAATATTGCTGAGCTTCTGTTCAGAGCTGCCTCAGCCTGGCAGAGGCCTGGAACCCAGGGGATTGAGCACCTTGGTGCTCCTTGGCCTGGACCCAGCTGTGTTTCCCTGGAAGCAGCCCTGGGGGTGGCACCGCCGGGCACCTCTGGCACCTGTGAGCTCCCTGTCCCCAGAGGGGAACAACGAGGCTTCCCCAAAGAGGGATCCACAGAGGGCACAGGTGAGAGCAGGGAAACCATGGGGGGACGGATCCATGGATGGATGGATGGATGATGGATGGATGATGGATGGATGATGGATGGATGGATGGATGGATGGATGGAGGGATGGATGGATGGATGATGGATGGATGGATGGAGGGATGGACAGATAGATGGATGGACAGACAGCAGGATGGATGGATGGATGAATGGATGGATGGATGGATGGATGATGGATCCATGGATGGATGATGGATGGATGGATGGATGGATGATGGATGGATGGATGGATGGATGGATGGATGATGGATCCATGGATGGAGGGATGGATGGATGGATGGATGGATGGATGGATGGATGGACAGATGGATGGACAGACAGCAGGATGGATGGAGGGATGGATCCATGGATGGATGGATCCATGGATCCGTGGATGGAGGGAGGGATGGACAGATGGATGGACAGACAGCAGGATGGATGAATGGATAGATGATGGATGGATGGATGGATGGATGGATGGATGGATGGATGGATGGATGGACAGACGGACAGACAGAAGGATGGATGGAAGAATGGACAGCACAGCGGATGGAAGGACGGCAGGACGGACAGACGGAGGGATGGACAGACAGATTGACCGCTCCCGCCCGGTGCGGGTTCAGCCAGACGTGACCCACAGGCCCCGCCCCCGCGCCGCCAAAGGGGCGTGGCCTATCCGCACCGGGGACGCGCTTTTCAGCGGGGGCGGGGCCAGACGTGACGCGACGCGGGTCGGACCAATGGGAGCGCGGCGCGGCGGGGCGGGCGCGGTCGCCATTGGCCGGCGGTGATGTCAGGGCGGCGCGGGGCGGGGCCCGGCGGGGCAGAGCGCGGGGCGGCGGAGGAGCCGCGGGTGCGCAGCGGGAGCGGAGCGAGCGGCACCGGGCGGTACCGGCACCGCGGGGACACGGTACCGGCACCGCGGGGACACGGGCGGCGGTACCGTGGGGACCGGCCGGGCGGCAGCCCCGTTCCGCATCTCCGCGGGGATCCGCTCCGGAGCTGGCGGCTCGCGGGGCGCTGCGGGAGGCGGGAGGAGCCCCGGCCGCCCCGGGGGATCGCCCTGCGGGTCCCTCCCGGGGTCCCGGTGCCCCCGGCTCAGCCGCTGAGGGTGCCCGGGGAAGCGGGAGCGCAGCCGGGGGAGAGGTGGGGGTACGGCGAAGGTTGGAGGAAACGGATGGAGCGGCTGCCACGGGACCCCCGGAATATCGGCTTTCCTCCCGTGTGTTTCAGGTGACGGGCGAGCTCTCGGAAAAGCGCGTTGTGTGCCAGGCTGCCCCAATGCCGGCCCCCACCCTGCAGCCGGGCCAGCTCCGTGAGTAACCCTCGCTGGGAGCTGCTGTTGGTGCGAGTAACAGGAACTGTGCTGGCCTCGTGCTGCTGGGGGAGGAGGAATCCTGCTGCGGGAGGAGGAGGAGGAGGAGGAGGGCGGCAGGGACACTCCGAGCCTGCTGGAATCGCTGGCTGTTGTGGCAGAAACCCGCAGGAGCCTTCAAAGGGGAATCCTGCAGAGCGACGGTGCCGCTGGCAAAGCCCTGGCAGCAAGAAGAGCCTGAGTGGGATCATGTCTAAAAGCCAATCCTCTCCTTCGGTGTTCCTTTAAGCTTCTACATCCTTTACTTCGTCTGTTTTTCCCTCTGCCCCGTCACATCTGCTGGAGAAAAGCTGGGAGGAGATGCACTAAGGCATCGCACATCTCGGGAGGAGAGCTCGGATCGTGCCTCGGCGGCTGCAGCAGCACAGAGCGCTGGGGAGGAGCAGAGCCAGGGGGAACTGAACCATTCCCAGCTCCTGCCGTGTCCCCTGTGCTCCGTGTCCCTGCTTGATGGGGATCTCTGCCGCAGGAGCAGGCTCCGCACTCCCGGGCGGGCGAGCAGGGCTGGCACAGCTCCCTCCTGGATGCTGGCAAGGCCGTGTGGATAAGCTGCTGGCAGAAGATCCCTCCTGGAGCAGCTGCTGGCTGTAGGCCCAGCGAGCCAAGGGTCAGGAGAGCGTGTCCTGCAGCATGACATCCACGCTGGAGCACAAGGATCCCCCCCAGGCCAACGGGGACTGCGGGCAGCCCGCGGGGCCCGAGCATTTCCTGCGGCCCGAGGGCACCGCCGTGGACCTGGTGGTGCTGGAGTCCCGTGCCAACGCCAAAGGGGTGAGGGAGGAGGATGCTCTGCTGGAAAACGGCAGCCAGAGCAACGAGAGCGATGACACCAGCACGGAGCGGGGGCCTGAGCCCCCCTCGCCCCTGAAGGAGACCTCGTTTTCCATCGGGCTGCAGGTGCTGTTCCCCTTCCTGCTGGCTGGATTTGGCACGGTGGCTGCTGGGATGGTGCTGGACATCGTGCAGGTAGGGCTGGGATGGTGCAGGTGGGGCTGGGATAGGGCTGGGGTGGTGCAGGTAGGGCTGGGATGGTGCAAGTAGGGCTGGGGTGGTGCTGGACATGGTGCAGGTAGGGCTGGGGTGGTGCAGGTGGGGCTGGGACGGTGCAGGTAGGGCTGGGGTGGTGTAGATAGGGCTGGGGTAGGGCTGGCATGGTGCAGGTAGGGCTGGGATGGTGCAAGTAGGGCTGGGGTGGGGCTGGACATCATGCAGGTAGGGCTGGGGTGGTGCTGGACATGGTGCAGGTAGGGCTGGGGTGGTGCAGGTGGGGCTGAACATGGTGCAGGTAGGGCTGGGGTGGTGCAGGTAGGGCTGGGGTGGGGCTGGACATGGTGCAGGTAGGGCTGGGGTGGTGCAGGTAGGGCTGGGATGGTGTAAGTAGGGCTGGAGTGGGGCTGGACATGGTGCAGGTAGGGCTGGACGTGGTGCAGGTAGGGCTGGGGTGGTGCTGGACATGGTGCAAGTAGGGCTGGGATGGTGCTGGATGTGGTGCAGGTAGGGCTGGGGTGGTGCTGGACATGGTGCAAGTAGGGCTGGGATGGTGCAAGTAGGGCTGGAGTGGGGCTGGACATGGTGCAGGTAGGGCTGGGATGGTGCAGGTAGGGCTGCTGCTCCCTGGCACTCTGCAGGGCTGGGTGGGATAAAGGAATAATAAAGGAATAATAAAGGAATAGCCAAGGAATGCCAAGGCTGCAATAAAGGAATGCCAGGGCTGCTTCAGCAACAGGGAGGGGGGAAAACAGTTTATCCCTGGTGTGCTGGGTGGGGAGGGGGAGATGGGGGAGCCCTCCAGCTCCTTGTGCCAACCCTGGCTTTGTAAATTCAGCTCAGGTAATTTAAGGAGGTGGAAGAGAAGTGAGGAATGAAGGAGGGAGAGGGCACTCAGAGGAGAAGGTGCAGCCTGTGCATCACAGCTGGAGACAAATCCCTTCCCTGCTGCTGCCTGGGGACACCCCAGCCCTGGGACTGGCTCCTCTCGTCCTTTTCCCACTCAGGTGCTGGCCCAGGCTGTGCCAGCCAGGGAAATGTTTCCCTCCGTGTGTGCCAGGCTCATTCCAGAGCTTCCTGCACCATTCCTTGTGCCCTGGAGGCACCCAGGGATGACAGGAGAGTTCCCCCTGGAAAGGCTGCGCTGGTGACTTTTAGGAAAGGCCAGCAGGGAGCTGGCAGCTCCCCCTGGATGCAAACTGAGGTGTTCCCTGTGGGAATGTGCCAGCCTGGCCGTGTTTCCATGTGGGAACGCTGCCTTTGCAGACGGAGCTGCTCCCAGCGCGTCCCCCAGGCGTGCCTGGCATCAGATCAGCTTCTCCTGGGGCAGAGCCTCCCCTCCCTGGGGCACAGCCCTGGGCTCTGGGGTGGGGACGCGGCCATTTGGGAGCTGTGGGCAGCCAAAATCGGCTCAGCTTGGAGCTGCTGGGCCGGGTAAACAAGGCCTGGCGGTGTGGGCAGTGGGAGGCTCCGGTGTCAGCCCCGTGCCAGGAAGTCAGAGGGGTTTTTTTGGGATCTGTGGGCGCTCAGGCAGCCGCTCCTCAGGGCTGCCCTGCCCACAGCAGCAGCTTCCCTGCGTGCCTTTGAGCTCTGCTCATCCCCTCCTGGTGGGACCTGCTGGGACGGCTGGGAAGTGACTGCAAACAGGAAAGGCTGGACGGGGGAAATTAATCCAGGACAGCTTTACTGGAATCGTTTTCTGAAAAAAAATAAAGACGTTTCAAGCGTGTTTTCCCTTCACAAGGTCCTTGCCTGGCTCTTCTGGAAGTTCCCCAAAGTGATTTGAGCCCAAGCTAAAGTTTTTCCTGGAGCAGGCACTGCCCTTGTGGTCAGTGTTGACACATGGTGCTCATAATGTCACTTCTCATCTTTCATGCTCTAAACTACACTGAAGCCTTCAGCACTTTCACAGTGTTCTGGACAATTTTTGTCAGCAGTTATTTGCAATTCAATCAATTACACAACTAAATTATTCCTTTATGAAGTTCACCTTCAGGATGCCCTTTTAGAAAATCAGGATTTGAAGGAAAAACAGAAATTTGAGAGCTACAATAGAAGGGGCTGGGAAACTCCGGCTCAGCCCTGTGTTCTGATTCCTGTGGCCTTTAGGAGTAAAACTTTGTAATTCCTGTGGAATTCCCACAGCAGCTCAGCCTGTGCTGCCAGCAGCTCCAACTCCCTTTAGCCTTGGGATTAAATTCCCATGGCTGGGAAGGAGGATGGATGATTTTTCCAGAACCACCCAGGTCCAGCTCACCCCTCCAGAGCTGCATGGGATCCTGGGCAGATCCTGAAGGACTATTATTATTATTATTGTTGTTGTTGTTGTTATATTTCATTATTTCATTATTATATAATAAAGGCTATGAGTCTTTGCTGTGTCTTGCAAATATATATATTATATTATTTGACTATATAGTTATTATATTATATAATTATATATAATATATAATTATATAATGTCTATTATATATATAATATATAAAATATATATTTTATATATAAAATTTTATATATTTATAAAATTTTATTTTACTGTATAATTATTATATTATTATGTTATTAATATAAGATATATATAATTCTTTATGTATATAGTTATATGATATATATCAAATTTTACATGCAAATTTTTATATTTATAAAATTATATTATACTATATAATTATTATATTAATATATTATTTTATTATAATAGATGTCATTATTTTATTATTATAATATATATATAATTCTATAATGTATATCATTTTGTATATATATATATACATATATATTTATATATAAAGTTTATAGATATATATTTGCAAGACACAGCAAAGGCTTTCAGCTGAGACTGACCAAACTCCAGCACTCAAACCTGCCAAAAACTGCAAGTATTGGGCAAAGCCTGTCCATGTTTCCCTGTTTTGGCCTCTGGGTGTGTAAACATTTTGTCCCTGGGGACTCTCTGGGGGATTTTCAGTGGAAGTTGCTGGCTCAGGGCTGTTTTGTCAGCCCGGCAGGGCTGGGCTCACTGCTGCAAATGTCACAGTGGGAAATCCCCAGTGTGGCAGCAGGAGGGGCACTGGGGGTGCTCAGTGACAGAGGGGACAGGGAGGGGTGGCACTGAGCACAGAGCCAAGGCTGGCACCAGCCACAGGGAGATGGGCTGGATTTATTGATGTGTTTGGTGAGATGGGCTGGATTTATTGAGTGTGCTTGGGTGAGATTTGCTGATTTTATTGAGTGTGCTTTGGTGAGATTTCCTGGTTTGATTGAGTGTGCTTTGGTGACATTTCCTGGTTTTGGTGAGATTGGCTGGTTTTATTGAGTGTGCTTTGGTGAGATTGGCTGGTTTTATTGAATGTGTTTGGTGAGATTTCCTGGTTTTATTGAACGTGCTTTAATGTGAGATTGGCTGGTTTTATTGAATGTGCTTTAATGTGAGATTGGCTGGTTTTATTGAATGTGCTTTGATGGCATTTCCTGGTTTTATTGAAAGTGCTTTTGTCAGAGATTTGCTGGTTTTAGTGAGTGTGCTTTGATGAGATTTCCTGGTTTTATTGAGTGTGCTTTGGTGAGATGTGCTGGTTTTATTGAATGTCCTTTGCTGGTTTTATTGAGTGTGCTTGGATGAGATTGGCTGAATTTTATTGAATGTGCTTTGGTGAGATTTGCTGGTTTTACTGAATGTGCTTTAACCTTGCAGCACTGGGACGTCTTCAAACAGGTCACTGAGGTGTTCATCTTGGTTCCTGCTCTGCTGGGGCTGAAGGGGAACCTGGAGATGACCCTGGCATCCCGCCTGTCCACAGCTGTGAGTGCCCAGGAGCTGGGGAGGCACAGGGACACCTGCTCTGTGTGTGTATGGGAGGGTAAAATTCCCAAATTTCCCCCAGAGCCCGGGGTCCAGCTGTGCTGGGAAGGTGTTTACACCCTGCTGGCTGATGGGATGTGAAGGGTTAATGGTGCTGGAGCTTTGCTGCCAGCTCAGGTGCTGTGCTGGGGCTGGGATCCAGCTGTCCCAGCAGGAACTGGGCACAGCAATGTCCCCAGGGCAGGAGGGGACAGCTGGGGGGCAGAGGGGAGCTGGCAGGGAGAGTGGCCAGGGATGGAGGTCACAGCTGGGCTTTTGTCCTGCTGGAACTGGCTCTGGCCATGGAGATGAATCAAAAATTGGGTTGAATCAAACATGGAATTAAATCAAACATGGAATTGAATCAAGTACAGGGTTTAACCAAATGTAGGGTTGAATCCAGTGATCTGTTAGCAGTTGTTAGTTTTATTTGCTTCCTTCTGCCATGCAGATGTGCCTGTAGATCAACCAAAAATGAATGTTTAGGTTGCCATAGCCAAATCAGCAGGCTCCAACGTCATGTTTTTAACCAATTGTAGCCCAGACAAAGCCTTTGTGACCTGTTTGGTCAATGTGCCAGTGCCAGCCAAGGAGTGGCCAATACCCAGTTGTGACAATTATTGGTGTGAGGCTGCCAAGGAGACAAATCCCATAACCCAAATTCTGCTGGGCTCATCCCCTTCCTCTGGGCCTGCCCTTGCTGCAGGAGAAGGCACAGCAGAGCTGCACAGGGCTCTCTCTGGGTCTCCTCTCCTCCAGGGACAGAGGCTGAGCTTTGTTCAACCCTTCCCTCTGAAACAATCAAACCAACAATTCCCTTTGTTTGTCTCCCTCTCCACTGTTGGCATCCTTGGCTCTTTGCTGTCCTGGCTCCAGGGATGCTCTCCCTGCTGCTCAGGGGGTGCTTGGCCCTTGTGTGTCCCCTCCTGGAGCAGCTTTGGCCCAGGACCCAGCCTGTGGCCAGTCAGGAGTGCAGAACTTTCCCAACAAATTTTCCAAAAAAATCTCCTTGTTTAGGATTTTTCTTCTAAGGAGCTGAGAAGCTTCAGAGAAAAAGGAAAACAATTATTTCATTGTCTTTTCTGTGTTTTGCTGCTTTAGAATGTGTTTGGAGATTGTTTATCTAACAGGTGATTGTTTAATGGGGTTTATGTGAATTGTTTTGACTCTTTGGCCAAGCTGTGTCGAACTCTGGAAAGAGTCACAAGTTTTTATTTTTATATTTTTAACCTTCTGTAAATATCTTTTTTGTATTCTTTAGGATAGTTTAGTATAGTATTATTTAATATAATATAATATAATATATTAAAATAATAAATTAGCCTTCTGAAAACACAGAGTCAGATTTATCTTTCCTTTCTTCATCTGGGCACCCCACAAATACAATACAAGTGTCCAAAAAATCTCTTTAGGATTTTTCTTCTAAGAAGCTGAGAAGCTTCAGAGAAAAAGGAAAGCAATAATTCTTTCATCATTTTTTCTGTGTTTTGCTGCTTTAGAATGTGTTTGGAGATTGTTTAATTAGTTTAATGTGAATTATTTTGACTCTTTGGCCAATCAGGGCCAAGCTGTGTCAGACTCTGGAAAGAGAGTCACAAGTTTTTATTTTTATATTTATAACCTTCTGTAAATATATTTTTTGTATTCTTTAGGATAGTTTTCTTTAATATAGTATATTATAATAAATATACTATATTAAAATAATAAATTAGTATATTATAATAATAAATATAGTATATTAAAATAATAAATTCACCTTCTGAGAGCATACAGTCGGATTTACCATTCCTTCCTTTGTCTGGGCACTAACACAATCCCAAGCTCTCTCCACAGCCTGGAGTCCTTTCTCAGGCTTTGGGTTCCTAATTAGTGCTGCCTTAAGGCACCTCAGAAATTCCTTTCACAATTAAGAGGCAAAACTCCCCCATTAGTTAAAGGATTAAGGGAGGTTATGCTAATCCCATTCTAATTGCCATGGGGCTGGAATTTTAAGGTCAGGCTTCTTATGGAGCTCAAATTCCTGTGCTGGCTGTGCTGCTCCACTCAGCTTTTTGTTGGTTTTCCCCCATTCCTTCCTCCTCCCTGCCCAGAATTTGCCCCAGAGATGGGAGCATCTCAGTAAAGCACATCCAGCAAGGAGAGCAGGGGGGTTAATCAATCAATTAATTAATCAAATTAATCAGTTTCTGGGTTTCTTGTTTTATTTTCCACCTGAGAGGAGGAAATTGCTGCTGTTGTGCACAAGTTTGAAGAAGTTTGGGATGCAGTGCTGTAGGTTTTTGTGTCATAGCATGATTGGCTAAGAAAGCTCACACTGCAGCATGAGTCCATCAGATGAAATATTTAAAGATTGGGTCAAAACCATCAATACCCTTGTTGGCAGTGTTTTATTGGTCAATAAACCCTTAAAAAGTCTTGTAACTAAGGGTCCTGAGACCTTCTGAGCCATGCAGTGGAGATGTGAGCTGAACTCACCCTTCCTCTCTGTGTGGAGGATAAGAAAAATAAATCCCATCATCAAAAAAACTCAGAGGTCCCTTCTCTAACTCCTTCAAAATTCAAAGTGCATTTCCCACTGCAGTGTTGGAGCCTCTCCCTTGTTTCCTGAGTTCATCAGCTTCTAATGATGCAAATTTGGTGTAAATGTACCCAATTGGGTATAAATTTACCCATTGTTCCCATAAAGCCCCTGGAGGTGGCAGGGAGGAGCAGATCTCACACCCTGCAGCGATTCCTCTGCCTTATTTTGGATCTTACAGCAGGAATTGAAGCATTTCCACCTCCTGCTCCTGCTTGGTGTCCCCCCCAGTGACATTTACTGGGTTATTCTTTAATCCTGGTCATCCTGCTCAGCCTCTCCCTGCTCCTCTCTGTGTCCCCATGTGTCCCCAGCCTTGTTTGCTCAGCTCTTCCCAGCAGCTTTCCCTGGCTTTGCTGCTGACCTGGGGCAGCCTGACCCAGCCAGGCCCAGCAGAGTGAGGGCCCTGGGCAGTGCAGTTTGTGCCTGCAGGGGTGTCATGGATATATTTTATGGAAAATCCTTTCCTTAGGGTCTTTTCTCTTGAGAGGCCTCAGAGAGGAAATGCAAACAATAATTATCTGTTGCTGTGGGATGCAACAGGGGCAGCTGGGATTGGGCTCATGGGGTTGTTTTTAATTAATGGCCAATCACAGTCCAGCTGGCTCAGATTCTCTGGTCAGTCACAAGATTTTATTATCATTCTTTTCCCCTTTTCCCTTTCCTTTCCTCTCCTCTTAATAGAATATATATATATCATAATTGAATATATATTATCATAAAATAGTAAATCAGCCTTCTGAAACATGGAGTCAAGATTCTCCTCCCTCATCCTGGGACCCTCCCTCATAATTGAATATATATTATCATAAAAGAATAAATCAGCCTTCTGAAACATGGAGTCAAGATTCTCGTCTCCTCCCTCATCCTGGGACCCCAGTGAACACCACCACACAAGGGGCACAGAGAGATCTTGTTGATTTTGCAGCATTCCCATCACATTTTTGGTTGGTGACACCAAAAATTTTGGATTTTTGGTTGGTGACACCAAAATTTTAGGATTTTTGGTTGGTGTTGATTCCCCTTTGCACTCCCTTTTCTGCTGAATTGTTCTCCTGAGGGTTTGAGTTTCCCCTCCTGCTCCTGGCAGGCAGGATTTGGCTGTTGGCAGGTGTGAAGGGCTGCCAGGCTGCAATGGTGTCTGATTTTCCTCTTACAGGCTAACATTGGCCAAATGGATTCACACAAAGAGCTCTGGAAGATGATCACAGGGAACATGGCTCTGATACAGGTAAGCAGAGGGAAGGGGAATATTCCCAGCTGGGACAAGCCCAGTTTGGCAGGTGTGGGAGGTCTCAGTGCCTGGGATTTGCTCTTTGTGTCTGATGGTGGCCCTGCAGGCTGGGCTGGGTGTTGCCATGCTGGATTCTGATCCCCCTGGGTGGGGTTTCCCTCCTGGAATCATGGAATAAAATCATGGAGTGGTTTGGGTTGGAAGGGACCTTAAAGTTCATGCCAGTTTTCAGCTTCCTTTGCTGCCTCTGTTGGGGTCAGGATTGAAGGCATTTGAGCTGATGGTTCATGTTCACACTCAGGTGTTTGTGGTTTCTTATCAGTGTTACAGTCTCACAGCCTGAGTCCTGCAGTCTCATTAACAAGGCACAAAATGGCCAACTATCTTTTGTTCCAAGGTCTTTTAAGGCTAAACTATCCAATTAAGAAATAACACCTAAATTATTTTCACTTTTAACCAAATAACTGATCCCTCAAAGCCCTCAGTGTGGACTTTTCTGTCCAATTACAAAATACCACCCAAACCCATGAAGAAGGAAGAAAAAAGGTAAAGAAGAACAACCTAAAACCTCCATCTTGCTTCATATTTGTTCCTGTACTCTAAAACCCCAAACTCTTAAGTTTTCCACCCTGTAACATTACACACTTTTAACCAAGAACACACCCATAATCCCAGTGCTGTTAATCAATTTTGGAAGCCTTCTCCACAGCCTCAGGGGGTCAGAGTCTGTTAGCACAGAAAGTTTAAAATTCTCAGCATCCAGAACTCCAACAAGCTCATCCATTTCCCATGGGCAGTGACACCTCCCACTCTCCCAGGCTGCTCTAACCTGGCCATGGGCACTTCCAGGGATGAGGCAGCCACAGCTGGGCAAGGTTTCCTACAATCACAGAATCACTGGGCTGGGAGGGACCTCAAAGATCATGGAGTCCAACCCAGCCCCAACCCCTCAACTGAGCCCTGGCACCCAGTGCCACATCCAGGCTTGGTTAAGGGACTCCACCACCTCCCCGGGCAGAACATTCCAGAACTTTATTGTCAGATTATGCTCTTTTCTGACCCAGAGATGGGGCAACTCAGAGGCATCTTAAAAACTTTTATTCCATTTTCAGTCCCATGTGAAGGGTGAGACAACACAGATGTTACAATTCACACCATCACAATCAGAAGTTAACTATTTCCTAATTACAACACATCACAAGTGTTTCTTGGCCTATCAGCTTTTGCCACACCAGGCTGTAAATGCCTAATTCTCTACAAATTCATTTCCCACACTTTATCACCCTTTCAGGAAAAAACTTTTCCCTGCTCTCCAGCCTGTATTTCCCTTGGTGCAGCTCGAGGCTGTGTGCTCTGGTTGTGTCAGTGCCTGGAGACAGAGCCCAGCCCCAGCTGAGCACAGGCACCTTTCAGGAGCTGCAGAGTGATGGGGGCAGCCCTGAGTCTCCTTTGCTCCAGGCTGAGCACCCCCAGCTCCCTCAGGGGTCCCTCACAGGGTTTGTGTGTTCCCAGCCCCTCTCCAGCCTCGTTGCCTCTTCTAGACATGTTCAAGTTCTCCCCACTCCCTGGGACTGTCCTGGTGTCTTGGTGACCCTGTGCTTTCCATTTCCAGGTCCAGTCCATGGTGGGACTGTCCTGGTGTCTTGGTGACCCTGTGCTTTCCATTTCCAGCTCCAGGCCATGGTGGGACTGTCCTGGTGCCTTGGTGACCCTGTGCTTTCCATTTCCAGCTCCAGGCCATGGTGGGACTGTCCTGGTGTCTTGGTGACCCTGTGCTTTCCATTTCCAGGTCCAGGCCATGGTGGGACTGTCCTGGTGTCTTGGTGACCCTGTGCTTTCCATTTCCAGGTCCAGGCCACCGTGGTTGGTTTCCTGGCCTCGATTGCAGCCGTGGTGTTTGGGTGGATCCCAGATGGGCACTTCAGCATGGACCACGCTGTGCTGCTGTGTGCCAGCAGCGTGGCCACTGCCTTCATTGCTTCCCTAGTCCTTGGTGAGAGTCCCCCCTCTGCTGTGCCCCCTCCTCCTGAAATATTAACCTCCCCTTGGCTTTATCTTGGGGGTTTTTTTGCCTCTTTCTGGTTGCAGGCATGATTATGATTGGGGTGATCATTGGCTCCAAGAAGATGGGGATCAATCCTGACAACGTGGCCACGCCGATCGCTGCCAGCCTGGGGGACCTCATCACCCTGGCCCTGCTCTCAGGGATCAGCTGGGGCCTGTACAAGGAGCTGGGTGAGGAGCAGCAAAAGGCTCAGGCTCTGCCTGCTCCTTGCTGTGTCCCCCTCTTGTTTCTTCACCCTCTTCCTCTGGGATCTGCCTCGGGGTGTGTGGGGTTCCTGCTCTGGAGCTCCCTCAGTTGGGCTTAGTCCAGGTTAGGGGAGGGGATGGAGCCTCTCACTGCCTTGAACTCCTCCTCCTCTCCAGGTGAGGTGCTCAGGGAGAGCTCCTTCCTCCTTCCTCCCTCTTTCCTCCTCCTCCTTCCTTCCCTGGGACACGGGGCTGGGACTCAGCCAGGTTCATCCAGGGCTGAAGGAAGCAGCTGCCCAGGAGTGGGAAGCAGCAGGGATAAGAGCTGGAATTGCAGAGATCTCCCTCAGATCTGCTGGTGAACACATCCAGGTGTTTTAGAGGCGACAGCTGTGACAAGGAACCACCACATCCTGCAGACTCCAGGCTGCCCTGAACTGTCCCTGGAGCTCCTGAGGGACATGGCCTTGACTTTTCTGCTTCTTTTTCTCCTTCTCCCCCTGCCCAGAGGGCAGAGCCTACGTGAACCCCTTGGTGTGCGCCTTCTTCCTGTCCCTGCTGCCCATCTGGATCATCATTGCCAGGAGGAATTCTGCCACCAGGGAGGTGCTCTACTCGGGCTGGGAGCCTGTCATCATTGCCATGGCCATCAGCAGGTGAGCCTGGCCCTGGCCTGTGCCCAGAGCCCCCCAGGTGAGCCCAGCACTGACTGCCCCTCTCCCCTGCAGCGTCGGGGGGCTCATTTTGGACAGGACGGTGTCGGACCCCAACTTTGCTGGCATGGCAGTGTTCACCCCAGTCATCAATGGTGAGTCCTGCCCGCCCTGGGCTGCAGCTCTTGGCAAACTGGGCTGGTCTGGGGCTTCAGGACACTCATTCTCTCTTGGGGCACACCCTGTGCCACCCTGTCACCCTTTGTTCTTGGCAAACTGGGATGGTCTGGGGCTTCAGGACACTCATTCTCCTCTAGGACACACAGGTTTGGCTCCCCTGTCACCCTCTGCTCTTGGCAAACTGGGGTGGTCTGGAACTTCAGGACACTCATTCTCCTCTCTGGGGCACCTCCTTTTCCCCCTTCTTTCCTTTTCTTTTTCCCCCCTTCTTTCCTTTTCTTTTCCCCCTTCTTTCCTTTCCTTTTCCCCCCCTTCTTTCCTTTCCTTTCCTTTTCCCCGTTCTTTCCTTTCCTTTTCCCCGTTCTTTCCTTTCCTTTTCCCCCTTCTTTCCTTTCCTTTTCCCCGTTCTTTCCTTTCCTTTTCCCCGTTCTTTCCTTTCCTTTTCCCCGTTCTTTCCTTTCCTTTTCCCCCTTCTTTCCTTTCCTTTTCCCCCCTTCTTTCCTTTCCTTTTCCCCCCCTTCTTTCCTTTCCTTTTCCCCCCCTTCTTTCCTTTCCTTTTCCCCCCCTTCTTTCCTTTCCTTTTCCCCCCCTTCTTTCCTTTCCTTTTCCCCCCCTTCTTTCCTTTCCTTTTCCCCCCTTCTTTTCTTTTCCCCCCTTCCTTTTTTCCCCCTATTCTTTCTTTCTTGCTTTCCATGCCAACAACCTTGGTGGGTAATTCTTCCAGGGCTAAACACTGGAACAATTCCTCTTCTCAGACTTCTCTCTGGCTCACAGAAATCCACCTCTCCCACAGGTGTGGGTGGCAACCTGGTGGCAGTGCAGGCCAGCCGAATCTCCACCTACCTGCACATGAGTGGGGAGCCTGGAGAAGGCCCTGGCACGGCCCCTCGGAAGTGCCCCAGCCCCTGCAGCACCTTCTGCAGCTCAGGTACAGCCCTGGAGGGCAGGGCTTGGTGCCAGCTGGGCTCCCTGGGCACAGCCAAGGGGGCACAGCCCTGCTCAGGTCAGGCTGGGGCTGCCCTGCCTGACTGGGGAGGGGAAATGGGAGTGTGGGGTGTCCTGAGCTGGAAGGGGATTTGGGGATGTCTTGGTTTGAGCAGACAGGTTCTGCTAAGGAAGGCAAGAAATGGGAAATTTTAAACTCCCCTCCCTCCAAATTGTTATAAATTTGAAATTAAGGGGCTCTCAGGCAAAGATGTGGGAATAGGAATAACAGTTCTTTATTATCCTGAGCTGGAAGGGGATTTGTGGATATCTTGGTTTGAAAAGCCAGGTTCTGCTCAGGAAGGCAAGAGGCCCCCCCTGAAATAGGAAATGCAAGCCCCCTCCCCCCAAATTATTATAATTCTGAAATTATGAGGCTCTCAGGCAAAGATGTGGGAATAGGAATAACAGTTCTTTATTGTCCTGAGCTGGAAGGGGATTTGTGGATGTCTTGGTTTGAAAAGCCAGGTTCTGCTCAGGAAGGCAGGAGGCCCCCCTGAAATAGGAAATGTAAACCTATATATTTATATTTTATAAAATACATTAAATATATATTTTATATTAAAAATATAAAATATATTTTACTATTATTTACAATAAATAAATAATTTACAAAATAATTTACAATTATTCACAATGAGTTATTTTCGCTACAAGAACATAAACATCAGAAGGCTTAGAAAACCTTAAAAAAATCAGGGTGTGACACTTGGGCACTTGCAGGGTCTGAATGTGTCCTTCTGTGCCCTTTGCAGACGTGAACTCCCGCTCTGCCCGTGTGCTCTTCCTGCTGGTGGTGCCCGGGCACCTGGTGTTCCTCTACACCATCCACTCCATGCAGGGGGGACACACCACGCTCACCCTCATCTTCATCGTCTTTTACATGACAGCAGCACTGCTCCAGGTGAGCTGGGAGCCCTGAGGGGCTGGGCTGCCTCAGGGGACACGGCTGGCACCTGCTCAGGTGTCCCTGTCCCTGCCCAGAGATCCTGTGCTGGGCAGAGGGATCCTTCAGGAATTCCTTTGTGAGCACCTGAGCACACAATTCTTCCATCCTGCCATTCCTGGGGAGTTTCAAAATCTGCCTTTTGTCTCTTTTTAAAGTCTTTTTGGTAGCCAGAGTGTGCTGATCTGTCCTGGGGGGTGATCTGGCAATTTGGAAAGGCCTGGTGATGAAAAGAGGATGTGGAATTTGGCAGGGAACGTGTGCCCCGTGCTGCCCTTTGCCCTGGCATTCCCTGGGGCTGTGAGGGACACAAGACCCAAAGGCCTGGGAGGACCCACTGCAGATTTTATTGTGGCCATGGGGTTAATTGTTCCCTTGGGGTTGTTGTGGGGTTGTTATGGCCATGGGGTTGTTGTGGCCCATGGGGTTAATTGTGCCTGTGGGGTTGTTGTGGCCCATGGGGTTAATTGTGCCTGTGGGGTTGTTGTGGCCCATGGGGTTAATTGTGGCCATGGGGTTGTTGTGGCTTATGGGGTTAATTGTGCCCATGGGGTGGTTGTGGCCATGGTGTTGTTGTTCCCAAGGAGTTATTTTGGCCACGGGGTTGTTGTGGCCCATGGGGTTAATTGTGCCCATAGGGTGGTTGTTGTAGCCCATGGGGTTAATTGTGCCTGTGGGGTTGTTGTGGCCCATGGGGTTAATTGTGCCTGTGGGATTAATTGTTCCCATGGAATTATTGTGGCCTATGGGGTTAATTGTGGTTGTTGTGGGATTAATTGTGGCCCACGGGGTTGTTGTTCCCATGGGGTGGTTGTGCCCATGGGGTTGTGCTCCCCGGGGCCAGGCAGGGCCGCAGTGGGGTTTGTAGGGCCGCAGTGGGGTTTGTAGGGCTGCCATAGGGTCTGCAGGGCCGCAGTGGGGTCTGCAGGGCCGCAGTGGGGTCTGCAGGGCCGCAGTGGGGTTTGTAGGGCCGCAGTGGGGTTTGTAGGGCCGCAGTGGGGTTTGTAGGGCCGCAGTGGGGTTTGTAGGGCCGCAGTGGGGGTCTGGAGGGCCGCAGTGGAGTCTGCAGGGCCGCAGTGGGGTTTGCAGGGCTGCCATAGGGTCTGCAGGGCCGCAGTGGGGTCTGGAGGGCGGCAGTGGGGTCTGCAGGGCTGCCGTGGGGCCGCAGAGTTGCTGTGGGCTCACACAGGGGCTCAGGGCTGTGCCTGCCGTGGCTCTTGCAGGTGCTGATCCTGCTCTACATCGCAGACTGGATGGTGCACTGGATGTGGGGCAGGCACCTGGACCCCGACAACTTCTCCATCCCGTACCTGACAGCCCTGGGGGACCTGATTGGGACAGGGCTGCTGGCCCTCAGCTTCCACGTGCTCTGGCTCATCGGGGACAGGGACTCCGACGTTGGGGATTAAACCTCCCTGCTCCTCCCTTCCCACAGCTCTCCTCCTTCCATTTGTTGTTTCTTTGCTTCTCCCCCTCCTGCCACCCCTCACCCTGGAAGATTTCACCTTTGATACTGGATTCTCATTATTTTCAATGGGAATTTTACCTGGTTTATATTTCAAGCCGAGTTTGTAAAAAAGAAAAATCTTACCTAGTTTTGGGAAGGACAAACAAACAAACAAACAAAAAGTGTAACGAGACAATCACTAAGTGCAATTTTCGTAGCAGTTGTGTCTGAACCAAGGTTCCAGAGAAGTTCCTGCTCAGTCAGGTCATGCAGGGAGCCCCCCCTGCCCCATCCCTCGAGGTGCAGGGCTGCTTTTTTCGCTTCATAAGCGTTTTTTAAACCCTGCAGGTGGAGCTCAGGTCTGTTCAGCTGAGCTGGCACCTTCCAGCCAAGCACAACCTCACAGCCCAGGGCATGGGCTACACCTGCCTTGGCTCCCTGAAGCTCCAGCCTGGGCCCACACCCAGAAATGGGGAGTGTCTGTGAAGGGGGATGAGGAGGATGGTGAGGAAGGCTCCTGTGTTCACCCCAGGAATGTGAGTGAGCTCATTTGGGACCCCCAGCTCCTGGCTGGGCTCTGCTGGCAGCTTCAGGCTCCTTTTTGCCACCCACCCCAGAGTGCAGCACGCTGCTCCTGCCTTGGTGAGCTGAGCTCAGCTGCCCTGAGCCTGGCCCAGAGGGGCTGGGGGCTCTCCCCACCCATCACCATCACCATCCCCCTGCCAGGGATCCCTGCTGGAGCCCTCCTGGTGCTGCTCCATTCCCCTGGCTGACCTTCCCAGAGGGGTGGATGGACAAACAGCTCCTGGGTTTTGTGCCCAGGTTTCCTTTTGGGCTGCTGAGGGGCTCCTTGCAGGCAGGAAAAGCCACCCAGCAGCTCCCCCAGCTGAGCCTGGGGTGCTCCCAGCTGGGCAGGAGTGTTCTGCTCCTGGTGTCTGTAAGGGAAGGACCTCCCTGGGATTGTTCTGCAGCTGGAAATGCAGTGTCACACACAGGGGCCTGGCTGGTGGAGCAGGAACAGGAACCAACCCCCTGCCCTGGTGTCAAATCTGGGGTTCCTGGGGCTCAGCCCAGCTGGGAGGCCCTGGCTGAGCCCTGGCAGGGCAGGATTCCCTCCTCTGCTGCTTCCCCTCCTGCTTTTTGTGGAATTCCTGCTCTTCCCCTTAGGCCGTGCTGGGAGGGCAGGAAAAACCCACAGCAAGTGCACCCAGAGGGGTAAACCAAGACCAAAGTTAGGCCAGGCTCAATGTCCCAGGCCAGAGCTGGGCCTGGCTCCAGATGATGCTGTTGGAAAGGAGGCTCAGGATGGAGGAGTTCTGGATTGTTGGAAAACAGGGCCAGGATGGAATTCTGGAAATCCACAGAGCAGATAGAGCCAAACCAGAGCTCCTGGCTGCTGCAGGCCCTCCCTGGAGCTCTGCAAACCCTTCCCTGCTGCAGGAGCTGAGCAGGAGGCAGGGCTGGGCTCCAGGCTGCTCCTCCTGAGCAGGTCTTGTATTTTTGAGGTGATTCCCCCTTTTTTTCCCTTGCTAATCCAGCATCAGGCTCAGTTTCCCTCCTCCTGTGCTCCATGTCCCGTGTGGGAGCAGCTCTGATCCTCCTCTCTCCCCTCTGGTGACATTTCTGAGCTTTCCTTTGGCCAAAGCTGTGCTCAAAGGGAAAAAGCCCAACCACAAAACAAACCCTGTCCCTGCTGTGCTGAGCTCTCAGCCCAGGGAATCCTGGAATATTATTTTTCCTGGAATATTATTTTTCCTGGAATATTATTTTTCCTGGAGTATTATTTTCTGGAATATTATTTTCCTGGAATATTATTTTCTGGAATATTTTTTTTTGGAATATTATTTTCTGGAATATTATAATTTTCTGGAATAATATTTTCTGGAATATTCTCAGCTGCTCACTTGATTTCTCTGCCTGATGTTGAGGAATTAAATGCAAGATTTCCTTCCATTAACATTTCAGCTTTTATGGATATAAAGAGAAGCTCTGCTGGCCTTTCTGGTGTCACATCACCACTTAATCCCCCAGGAAAAAATTCCCTAGAGGAGGAATCTGCCTCTCATGGTGGGGCTGGGGGGGGAGTCTGTACATTAAATATGGTCCAAGGTGTGCTTGGGGAATGGTCAGGGAAGAATTTAATTTAAAACTGAGGAATATTGATGGGAAAACAAACAAAAACAAAAGAAACCTCTTCCCACTGGTTGCACTCCAATGCATGCCTACTCTACAGCTGCCTGCAGATGAAAATCCTGGTTTACTCTTTTATTAAAGGAAAAAAAGACTGTCTTAATTATTTATAGTTCCTATAACTGACAGATGTCGACCTAATGGATAAATTATATTTGGTTAAATAAAGATGACATTTATTTATCTGGACTCTGGTGGGTTTTTTTTGTTTTTTTTTTCCATCAGGTTGAAGGCCCCACTCAGGTTTTGAGGCTTATTTGAGCTCTCTTTTGATTAGGAGAGTTACAAAAATCAAATAAACTGCTGGGCATGAGGCAAACTGGGCTTAGTGTGAGTGCCAGGTGACCTTGGGCAGGTCCTGGCAGCTCCTGGGGGCTCCCAGCAGGAATTCAGGTGTTTGTTCAGCATCCAGGCCCTGCTGCCACGTGGCCTCTCCCTTTTCCTGCTGATTTGGTGGAAGAAAAGGGAATAGAAAAGGGTAAATAAGGGTTCTGCCCCTTCTGGGCTGCAGAAAAACCCCTGGAGTTGCAGGAATTGGTGTTTCCCTGCAGGGCTGTCCAGAGCAGGGTCTTGGTGCAGAATCCTGTAGTGTTGTGAGGTTTTTAGGACAAGGTGAGAGAATTTAATTTTAAGTTTTCAGAAGGCTGATTTATTTTATATTTGATGATATATTTTTATTTTATGATATATTTATTTTATATTTTATGATATTATATTAAAAGAAGTTATCTACTAAAACTATACTAAAGAAAGGATACATCAGAAGGCTAGAAAAGAATGGATAATAAAAACCTGTGACAGACTCAGCCCAATCAGGCTGTGATTGGTCATTAAATTAAAACAATTCACATGCTGGGTAAACAATTTTCTAAACTGGGGGTGTGTGGAGCTGAATCTGGGGATGCAGGGGGCTGGGGACACAGGGGATGTGCAGGATCTGGGGGTGCACAGAGCAGGGTTTGGGGGTGCACACAGCAGATCTGGGGGCTGGGGATGTGCAGGGTTGGATTTGTGGGTGCACAGAGCAGGGTTTGGGGGTGCACACAGCAGATTTGGGGGTGAACAGAGAAGATCTCGGGGCGCAGGATCAGGATCTAGGGGTGCACAGAGCAGGGTTTGGGGTTGCACAGAGCAGGATCTGCTGCCACAGGGGGTGCACAGAACAGGGTTTGGGGGTGCACAGAGCAGGGTTTGGGTTGCACAGAGCAGATCTGGGGATGCACAGAGCAGGGTTTGGGTTGCACAGAGCAGGGTTTGGGGGTGCACAGAGCAGGGTTTGGGGTGCACAGAGCAGGGTTTGGGGTGCACATAGCAGATCTGGGGGTGCACAGAGCAGGGTTTGGGGTGCACAGAGCAGGGTTTGGGTTGCACAGAGCAGGGTTTGGGGTGCACAGAGCAGATCTGGGGGTGCACAGAGCAGGGTTTGGGGGCGCACAGAGCAGGGTTTGGGGTGCACAGAGCAGGGTTTGGGGTTGCACAGAGCAGGGTTTGGGGTGCACAGAGCAGGGTTTGGGGTGCACAGAGCAGGGTTTGGGTTGCACAGAGCAGGGTTTGGGGTTGCACAGAGCAGATCTGGGGGCGCACAGAGCAGGGTTTGGGGGTGCACAGAGCAGGGTTTGGGGTGCACAGAGCAGGGTTTGGGGGTGCACAGAGCAGGGTTTGGGGTGCACAGAGCAGGGTTTGGGGGTGCACAGAGCAGGGTTTGGGGGTGCACAGAGCAGGGTTTGGGTTGCACAGAGCAGATCTGGGGGTGCCCAGAGCAGGGTTTGGGTTGCACAGAGCAGGGTTTGGGGTGCACAGAGCAGATCTGGGGGTGCACAGAGCAGATCTGGGGACGCACATAGCAGATCTGGGGGCGCACAGAGCAGGGTTTGGGTTGCACAGAGCAGATCTGGGGGTGCACAGAGCAGATCTGGGGGCGCACACAGACCAGGATCCGCTGCCACGGGGGATGTTCCGCGCTGCATCCGGCGCTGGCCCCGGCGGAAGGCACCGAACTACAGATCCCGGCAGCCCCGGGCGCGGCCGCGGCGCTGCCCCGGCTGAGCCTCACATGAGCGAGCGGGGCCGGGCCGGGCCGGGCCGGGATGGGGCAGCGCGATCGGATGTTCAAGGTGCTGGTGGTGGGGGACGCCACGGTGGGCAAGACCTCGCTGGTGCAGCGCTACGCCAACGACAGCTTCAACCGGCACTACAAATCCACCGTGGGCGGTGAGCCCGGCCGGAATGCCGGCTTAACGGGGCTACCGGGGGGCTCGCTGGTTACCGAGCGCTTCCTGGGGGGCTGCCGGGTGGTTCTCGGGGGGTCCTTGGGGTTACCGGGGATTATCGGGGGTTACCATGGGGTTACCGGGGGTTACCGAGCGGTTACCGGGGGGTTCCCTGGCGATTCTCGGGGGTATCCGGGGGGTTTTCGGGTGGTTATCGGGGGTTACCGAGGGGTCCTTGGGGTTACCGAGGGGTTACCGGGGGTTCTCGGGAGGTTTACGGGTGGTTCTCGGGGGTGCCCTGGGGGGTTCTCGGGGGTTTCCAGGGGTTCTCGGGGGGTTACCGGCGGGTTATCGGGGATTCCTGGGGTTATCGGGGGTTACCGGAGATTACCGGGGGGTTCTCTGGGGTTACCGGGTGTTTTCGGGGGCTACCGGGGGTTACTGGGGGGTTCTCGGGGGTTACCGAGGGGTTACCGGGGGGTTCAGGGGAGTTACCGGGGGGTCACTGGGGATTCCCTGGGGGTTATCGATCGGGTGTTCTTGGGAGGTTTCCGGGGTTGTTATCGGGGGTGCCCTGGGGTTACCGGGCGTTACGGGAGGGTCCTTGGGGATTCTCGTGGGTTCCCGGGGGTTTCCCGAGGTCCAGCACCGCACCCATCCCGCTGCACATCCCCTCCCCTCATCCCGCGGAGCTCCCCCCTCTCCCCCCGTCCTCCCCGGGCCGTGGGGTTGGGAGTTTGGGCTGGGAACAGCCGGGTGTCGTGGGTGGTTTGTGCGCTGTTAACTCCCAGACCCCCTTCCCTGAGCCCCTGGGGAGTCTGTCCCTCTGCCCGCCTCATTTGGGGTGCCCCTGCCTCTGGGAATAATCACCCCAGGAGCTGTAAACTGGATAGGCCTAGGTTATAGGCTCAGCTCATCCCAGTAAAACCAGCAGCAGTGCTGGTTTGGCGTTAATTGAACAGCCCTGAGCCCCAGGAGCTTCTGCCAGGCTCATTTGGGGTGCCCCTACTCCTTGGAATCACCACCCCAGGAGCTGTAAACTGGATAGGCCTGGGTTATAGGCTCAGCTTATCCCAGTAAAACCAGCAGCAGTGCTGGTTTGGTGTTAATTGAACAGCCCTGAGCCCCCAGGTGCTTTTGTCCCTCTGCCTGGCTCATTTGGGGTGCCCCATCCTTCTCCCAGCCCTTGGAATAAACACCCCAGGAGCTGTAAGCTGGATAGGCTGAGTTTACAGGCTCAGCTCATCCCAGTAAAACCAGCAGCAGCGCTGGTTTGGCTTTAGTTAAGCAGCCTGGCCTGGCTGCTGAGGGGTCAGCAGCTCTTGGGAAGCTCTGGGAGGGGGGAATGGGAGGGCTGAGCAGGATTTGGGTTCTTTATGTGAATGAATAACCTGGAAGAAGCAGGAGCTGCCAAGGGTTTACCCAGGAAATCTCCCCAAGGACCCAAATCGGGGGTTTTGAGCACAGCTGTTTAAATCTTCTTATTCCTGAGCTGGGAGGGGATGGATTAGAGGTGCAAACTCTGGAGAGGCACAGAGCTGGGCTGGGCCCTGCTCTGTCCCAGCAGGAAATGCTGCAGGCTCCTTCCTGGGACTTTTCTTGTTGTGCTTTCTTCCTGCTTTTGGTCAGTTCCAGCCCAGCTAGGTCTGGCTGCCAGGTTGAAACCCTGACACATCAGGATCTGAGAACAGCACAGAGCTTCCTCTTTTGACTCACTTTGGTGACAGCAAAGATGGGGTGATTCAGCTTGGAAGGGACCTCACATCTCCTCTGACCCCATAAACAGGGACACCTTTCCCTGTCCCAGGCTAATATGGGGTGATTCAGCTTGGAAAGGACCTCGCACCTCTGACCCCATAAACAGGGACACCTTTCCCTATCCCAGGCTAAAATGGGGTGATTCAGCTTGGAAAGGACCTCACATCTCTGACCCCATAAACAGGGACACCTTTCCCTGTCCCGGGTTGCTCCAAGCCCCATCCAGCCTGGAACTGTGCTTGGGCTGGTGCCCCTGGTGCAGGATTTGGGAGGGCTCTGGCAGATGGGGAGAGGCTGTGCAGGAGCAGCCCCGTGGTGCAGAATGGCCCTGAGCAGCTTTCCTTTCCTTTCCTTTGTTTCCTGCTTTTTTTGGGAATTCTCCAGTGGATTTTGCTCTCAAGGTGGTTCAGTGGTCGGAGTCGGAGACGGTTCGGCTGCAGCTCTGGGACATTGCAGGTATTTGCAAGGTTTTTTGATTTACCCAATGTTTTGGCCTTTTTTGCCTTCCTTTTCCCTTTTCCCTTTCCCTTTTCCCTTTCCTTTTCCCCTTTGTCTTCCTTTCCCTTCTCTCCAAAAATAAATCCCAGCTGCCTGTGGATTCCAGGGCCAGGACTGCTCTGCTTTGCTGCCTCCAGCCTGCTGTAGTAATTTAAATATTTAATTAAAAATCCACCTGCCAGGAATACCCATAGTAATCCCTGCTTTTCAGAGCCTTCCCCCTCTGTTCCAGAGCAGAGGAAAATGTGGAACTGGCTGGACATGAGGCTGCTCAGCTCCAAATTTTGGGTTAAAATCCAAATTTCTGGCATGAGACACACTCTGAGGGCCAGAATTACAAAAGCTGGAGTGGACAAGGAGCTGGAGAGGGGCAGAGGAACGAATTTCCCAAATTCCCTGGCACCAGGAGAGCTCTGGGCAGCAGCATCTCTAAAATGGCCCCTGTGGATGTGGAGCAGGGAGGAAAACAGGGCTGTGGTTTCCTCTGGCATCCTTAAAATGGCATCAGGAAGGAGAAGTTGGCAGAATCAGCAATGCAGCAAAAAACTTTCGGTTTTGGCCCCAAAAAGGAGCTGGAGGTGGGGGAAGCAGAGCTGGCACCGTGCCCTTGGGGTGCCCAGGGACACCCAGGTGGCCTCAGGGCCCTGGGTTACGTGGGAATAATGCAAATATTGGGGTGTCCTAGCACTGGGCACTGGGTTACATGGGAATAATGCAAATATTGGGGTGTCCTAACACTGGGACACTGGGTTACATGGGAATAATGCAAATATTGGGGTGTCCTAACACTGGGGCACTGGGTTACATGGGAATAATGCAAATATTGGGGTGTCCTAACACTGGGGCACTGGGTTACATGGGAATAATGCAAATATTGGGGTGCCCTAACACTGGGGCACTGGGTTACAGGGGAATAATGCAAATATTGGGGTGCCCTAACACTGGGGCACTGGGTTACAGGGGAATAATGCAAATATTGGGGTGTCCTATCCCTGGGCACTGGGTTACATGGGAATAATGCAAATATTGGGGTGCCCTAACACTGGGGCACTGGGTTACAGGGGAATAATGCAAATATTGGGGTGCCCCATCCCTGGGCACTGAGTTACAGGGGAATAATGCAAATATTTGGGGTGTCCCAGCCCCCCCTGCCCATTGGGTGATCTTTGGTCCCTGATAACCCAGACAAATCCTGTGTGTGTTTTGTGTTTTTCTCTGTGGGTTTTTGTGTGTTTCTCTGTGTGTTTGTGTGTTTCCATGTGGGTTTTTGTGTGTATTGTGTGCGTTTCCCTGTATTTCTCTGTGGGTTTGTACAGGTTTTGTGTGTTTCTCCGTGTGTTTGTGTGTTTCTGTATGGGGTTTTGTGTGTTTTTGTGTGTTTCTCTGCTTGTATGTTTTTGTGTGTTTTCTCTGTGTTTCTCCATGGGTTTGTATGGGTTTTGTGTGTTTGTGTGTTTCTCCATGGGTTTGTATGTTTTTTGTGTGTTTCTCTGTGGGCTTTTATGTGTTTCTATGTGTGGTTTTGTGTGTTTCTGTGTGGGTTTTTCTGTGTTTCTCTGTTTGTATGGGTTTTTTGTGTGTTTGTGTGTTTCTCTATAGGTTTGTATGGTTTTTGTGTGTTCCTGTGTGTTTCTCTGTGTGTTTGTGTGTTTCTCTATGGGGTTTTGTGTGTTTTTGTGTGTTTCTCTGTTTCTATGGGTTTTGTGTGTTCTTCTGTGTTTCTCTATAGGTTTCTGTGTTTCTCTGTGGGGTTTTGTGTGTTTCTCTGTGTGTTTGTATGGGTTTTGTGTGTTTCTCTGTATTTCCCTGTGGGTTTGTACAGTTTTTGTGTGTTTCTCTGTGGGTTTCTGTGTTTCTCTGTGGGTTTCTGTGTTTCTCTGTGGGTTTTCCACCATTCTGTGCCCTGACCCCTGCCCAGCCCAGAGATTCCCATCCAGCCCACACCCCAAATGCCCCCACAAACCAGAAATCCTCACTGCCAGCTGCAAATCCACCCCACAAACACACAACCTACCTGAATAACACCCCAAAACACACAATCTACCTGGATAACACCCCAAAACACACAATCTACATGGATAACACCCCTCAAACACACAATCTACCTGCACAACACCCCACAAACACACAATCTACCTGAATAACACCCCAAAACACACAACCTACCTGCACAACACCCCACAAACACACAACCTACCTGCACAACACCCCAAAATACCAACTCTGGCTGGCTTTTTCTCTGGTTCTGACCCAAGGGCAGGAACGTTTCACCTCCATGACCCGCCTGTACTACAGGGAGGCCTCAGCCTGTGTCATCATGTTCGATGTCACCAACAGCAGCACCTTCAGCAACAGCCAGAAGTGGAAGCAGGACCTGGACAGCAAACTGGTGCTGCCAGATGGGAGCCCCGTGCCCTGCCTGCTGCTGGCCAACAAGGTGGGCACTCTGCCCAGGCTGGGCTTCTGGGGCTTTTTGGGGGGGTTTTGTGTGGTTTTCTGTGGGTTTGTGTGGTTTTTGTGTGTTTCCCTGTGGGTTTGTATGATTTTTGTGTGTTTCTCTGTGGGTTTGTATGATTTTTGTGTGTTTCTCTGTGGGTTTCTGTGTGTGTGTTTCTCTGTGTTTCCCTGTGTGTTTGTGTGTCTTTCTGTGGGTTTGTATGATTTTTGTGTGTTTCTCTGTGGGTTTGTATGATTTTTGTGTGTTTCTCTGTGGGTTTGTATGATTTTTGTGTGTTTCCCCATGGGTTTGTATGATTTTTGTGTGTTTCCCTGTGGGTTTCTGTGTGTTTCGTGCGTCTCTCTGTGGGTTTCTATGGTTATTGTGTGTTCCTCTGTTGGTTTGTATGGGTTTTGTGTGTTTCCCTGTGGGTTTCTATGATTTTTGTGTGTTCCTCTGTTGGTTTGTATGGGTTTTGTGTGTTTCTCTGTGGGTTTCTGTGTGTGTGTTTCTCTGTGTTTCCCTGTGTGTTTTTGTGTTTCTCTGTGGGTTTGTATGATTTTTGTGTGTCTCTCTGTGGGTTTGTATGATTTTTGTGTGTTTCTCTGTGGGTTTGTATGATTTTTGTGTGTTTCCCTGTGGGTTTGTATGATTTTTGTGTGTTTCTTGTGGGTTTCTGTGTCTTTCGTGTGTCTCTCTGTGGGTTTCTATGGTTTGTCTTCCTCTGTTGGTTTGTATGGGTTTGTGTGTTTATATGGGTTTTGTGTGTTTCTCTGTGGGTTTGTGTGTTTCTGTGTTGGTTTCTATGGTTTTTGTGGTTTTCTCTGTGAGTTTGTCTGGGTTTTTTTTTGTGTTTTTGTACGTTTCTCTGTGGGTTTGTAGGGTTTTTTTGTGTGTTTTTGTGTGTTTTTTTTGTGTTTCTCTGTGTGTTTGTACAGTTTCTGTGTGTTTCTCTGTGTGGTTTTTTGGTGTGTTTCTCTGTGTGGTTTTGTGTGTGTTTTTTGTGTTTCTCTGTGGGTTTGTATGGTTTTTGTGTGTTTCTATATGGGTTTGTGTGTTTCTCTGTGGGTTTGCGTGTTCCTGTGCCCGGGCAGATTTGGGATGGGAGATGAGGCTGGGGAGGCAGATTTGGGATAGGATAAAGTCGAGGAGGCAGATTTGGGATGGGATGAGGTCAGGGAGGCAGATTTGGGATGGGATGGGGCTGGGGAGGCAGATTTGGGATGGGATAGAGTCGAGGAGGCAGATTTGGGATGGGATGAGGTCGGGGAGGCAGATTTGGGATGGGATAAAGTCGGGGAGGCAGATTTGGGATGGGATGAGGCTGGGGAGGCAGATTTGGGATGGGATGAGGTCGGGGAGGCAGATTTGGGATGGGATGAGGTCGGGGAGGCAGATTTGGGATGGGATGAGGCTGGGGAGGCAGATTTGGGATGAGGACGGGGTTGGAAGCTCCGTTCCAGGCGTGCCTGACTGAGGTGTGTCCGTACCTGAGATCTCAGATAAAGAAATCTCTGCTTGCAACACCCCAGGGAGAGCCTTGCCCTGGGAGCTGGCAGGGCTGAGCCGCCTCCCAGGGCTCTCCCAGCTGCAAAACTGGGGAGAAACCCCCCCCTGAGAGGCCCTGGCACTGATGATCCAAAAAATCCATCCCTGGGGGTGTCCCAGGCCAGGCTGGAGAAGGCACAGTGGAAATGGCCCTGCCCATGGATGGTTTGAATGAGGAATTAATTTTATTGAATTGATAAATGAAATTAAAATTGTTCCAACCCAAGCCATTGTGGGACTGAGTGCCCCTGAAATGCCCCATTTCTGCCTTGCAGTGTGACCTTGCCCCGTGGGCAGTGAGCAGGGAGGAGATCGACCGGTTCAGCAAAGAAAATGGATTTTCAGGGTGGGTGGAGACGTCTGTGAAGGAAAACAAAAACATCAACGAGTCCATGAGGTAGGAGCAGTGCCCGGTGCTGTGTCCTGTGCTGGTGTTTGAGGGTCCCCAGGATGAGGGCAGGGATGAGAATCTTCACTCCATGTTTCAGAAGGCTGATTTATTATTGAATGATATTATATATTATATTACATTATTATAATATAATCATATTATATTATAATAATGCAATATTATTATATCATAATGTAATGTTATAATAGTATATTATTATATTATAGTATAGTATTATAATATTATATTATAATATAATAATATTATAGTATGTTATATCATAATATTATTATATTATTATATCATATTATGATTTATTCTATTATTATATACTATTTTAACAATATAATATATAATATAATATTTTATCATATTATACATATATTATATATTATCTATATAAGATATATATAATATATATATAATATAGTATTATATTGTATTGTACTGTATTATATTATATAGTATTATATTATATTGTATTGTAATGTATTGTAATATATTATATTATGTTATATCATATCATATCATATCACATTATATTATATTATATTATATTATATTATATTATATTATATTATATTATATTATATTATATTATATTATATTATATTATATTATATTATATTATATTATATTATATTATATTATATTATAATGATATACTAAAACTACACTAAAAGAATAGAGAGAAAAGGATTTCACCAGAAGGCTTGAAAGGAATAGAAAAGAATGATAATAAAATCTTGTGACTGCTCACAGCTTTGACAGGGGTGGCTGTCATTGGTCACCAAGTAAAACCAATTTCACATGCTGGGTAAACAATTCTCTAAATCACATTTCAAAGCAGCAAAACATGGAGAAGCTGAAGTTCCTCAGGAGAAAAGATCCTGGCAAAAGGATTTTCATAGAACGTGTGTGTGGCAGTGTCCCAGAGCTCACTGCCTGCCCAGAGCAGCCCTGGCAGTGCCCACGGATCCTGGGCAAAGAGGAGTTTTCAGAAAATGTGATGGTGACAGGGAAGGGAGGGGCAAAACACTGCTTTGCTTTTTTATTTTTTAGTTATTTCTTTTCTGCACTGCCCAACTCTCTATAAATCCATCTCTAACCCTTCTGAGCTTTGCTTTTTAAGTTTTATTTCTTTTCTTCACTGCCCAACTCTACAAATCCATTCCCTGCACTTCTGAGCTTTGCTTTTTTAATTTTTTATTTCTTTTCTGCACTGCCCAACTCTCTGCAAATCTATCTGTAACCCTTCTGAGCTTTGCTTTTTGATTTGTATTTCTTTTCTGCACTGCCCAACTCTCTATAAATCCATCTCTAACCCTTCTGAGCTTTGCTTTTTATTTTTTATTTCTTTTCTGCACTGCCCAACTCTCTACAAATCTATCTCTAACCCTTCTGAGCTTTGCTTTTTATTTTTTATTTCTTTTCTGCACTGCCCAACTCTCTGCAAATCTATCTGTAACCCTTCTGAGCTCTGCTTTTTGAGTTTTATTTCTTTTCTGCGCTGCCCAACTCTCTACAAATCCATTTCCAACACTTCTGACCTTCGCTTTTTTATTTCTTTTCTGCACTGCCCAACGCTGCTGATTCAAAAAAAAACCCCAAAAACCAAAAACCAACAAATAAACAACAAAACAAAAAGTCCCCAATCCAACTGAGGGCTGTTCCACTGTTTCCCCAGGGTTCTGATTGAGAAGATGATGTCCTCACCCCCAGGGGATGGCAGCTCCTGCTCTGCTGGCACTGGGGATTACATCAGCATCAAGGAGCCCTCCCCTCCAGGCTGGGCCTGCTGCTGAGGCCTCTGGCACCGCTGGGCTCCAGCTCTTCCTCCCCTCCTCATCCTCATCCTCGTCATCGTCACGGGCACCTTTCCCTGGGCTGTCCCTGCTTTGGGGTTTTTTCCTGTGATTCTGAACTTTTCAGTGGCTGTTTCCTCAGCACAGCCCTGCTGCAGTGCCTTGGAGGGAGGGTGGAGGAAGGGGAGGGGGAATGTTCCTGATTTTGGGAATATTCCTCACTTTGGGAATATCCCTCATATTGGGAATATTCCTGATTTGGGAATATTCCTCATTTTGGGAATATTCGTCATTTGGGAATATCCTCATTGGGAATATTCCTCATTTTGGGAATATTCTGCAGTGGAAATGTTCCTGATTTTGGGAATATTCCTCATTTTGGGAATATTCTGCAGTGGAAATGTTCCTGATTTTGGGAATATCCTCATTGGGAATATTCCTGATTTGGGAATGTTCCTGATTTTGGGAATATTCCTCATTTTGGGAATATTCTCCAGTGGGAATGTTCCTGATTTTGGGTATATTCCTCACTTGGGAATATTCCTGATTTGGGAATACTCCTCATTTGGGAATATCCTCATTGGGAAAATTCCTGATTTGGGAATATTCCTCACTTGGGAATATCCCCATTGGGAATATTCCTGATTTGGGAATATTCCTCATTTTGGGAATATCCTCATTGGGAATATTCCTGATTTGGGAATATCGCTCATTTGGGAATATTGCTCATTTGGGAATATCCCTGATTTGGGAATATCCCTTATTTTGAATATTCCTGATTTGGGAATATTCCTCATTTTTGAATATTCCTCATTTATGAATATTCCTCATTTATGAATATCCCTCATTTTGAATATTCCTCATTTTGAATATTCCTCATTTGGGAATATCCCTCATTTTGGGAATATTCCCCATTTTCTCTGCTGCTCTGATGGAGCACAATCCATGTCCAGGCAGTGCCTTGGATTATATTGAATTTTTTTTTTTTTAATTTTAAGCACTTCCCCTCTGGCAGTGCTGGCCTGGGCTGTCAGAGGGATTTTTTTTAATTTTCTGCACCTTCATCCCCTCCCTTTTGGGGACATTCCAGCAATTTCCTCCCTCCCTGCTCTGTGCTGGAGGGACCAGCACAGCCCAGCAGAGCCCCAGGCCTGCTGAGGATGAGGATGAGGAGCTGGGTGTGCTTCATCCCTGGGCAATTCTGGGGGTGACCTGGAGCAGCACAGCCCTGAGAGCAGAAACCCCAACATTTGGTCAGGAGCTGCTCCTGCCCTCCCTGCACCAGCACAACCCTCACTATTTGGGTTCTTTCTGTGGAACAGAGACCCCAAAATTTGGTTAAGAGTTGCTGGCTTCTCCCTGGTGGAGCAGAGACCCCAAAATTTGGTCAGGAATTGCTCTGGCCTTCCTGGACCAGAACCATCCCCACTCCCCTGGGTTCTCCCTTTGGAGCAAAACCCCAAAATTTGGTCAGGAATTGTCCCTGTCCTTCCTGGACCAGCACAATCCTCACCCTCCTGTGGAGCAGAGACCCCAAAATTTGATCAAGAATTGCTCTGGCCCCTCCTGGACCAGAATAATCCTCAGTCCCCTGTGGAACAGAAACCCCAAAATTTGGTCAGGAGCTGCTCTGGCCTTCCTGAATCAGCACAATCCTCATTCCCCTGTGGAACAGAGACCCCAAAATTTGGTAGGAACTGCTCCTGCCCTTCCAGGACTGCAACAATCCTGACTCCCTTGGGCTCTGCTTGTGGAGCAGAAATCCCAAAATTTGGTCAGGAGCTGCTCCTGGCCCAGCTGGGTTCTCTCTGTGGAACAGAAACCCCAAAATTTGGTCAGGAATTTCTCTGGCCTTCCTGGACCAGCACAAACCTCACTCCCCTGTGGAACAGAAACCCCAAAATTTGGTCAGGAGCTGCTCCTGTCCTTCCTGGACCAGAACAACCCTCACTATTTGGCTTCTCCTTGTGGAGCAGAAACCCCAAAATTTGGTCAAGAAACTGCTCTGGCCCTTCCTGAATCAGCACAATCCTCAGTCCCCTGTGGAACAGAAACCCCAAAATTTGGTCAGGAATTGCTGGGTCCTCCAGCAGAGACCCCAAAATTTGGTCAGGGTTTTCTCCTGCCCTTCCTGGACCAGAACAACCCTCACTATTTGGGTCCTCCCTGTGGAGCAGAAACCCCAAAATTTGGTCAGGAGCTGCTCCTGCCCTTCCTGGACCAGCACAACCCTCACTATTTGGGTTCTCCCTGTGGAACAGCGACCCCAAAATTCGGTCAGGATTTTCCCTCTGGGCTGTAATCAATCCCCTTCTGTGGCCCCACAAGGGCCCTTTTTGGGACATCCCAAAGTGCTTTTGGCAAGTGCTGCTCAATTGCCTCCCCAGCATCCTGCTGCACCAGGAGGGAATTTGGGGAGGAAACAGCTCCCTAAAAACCCCCCTGCTGTTTAATGGGGCTGAGGAAGAGGAGGAAAAAAAAGATTTTATGGGATAAAAGGAAATTCCCATTTCCCTCTGGTGCCACATTCCCCGTTAGTGCTGGTGGAGAGCAGTGCTGGCCAAAAAATTGATATTAATTGAGGAGAATTTATAGGAAATTCCCACTTGAGAGCTGAAGCTTTGTGTGTTTAATTCAGGATTTGCTGTTCCGTGATTTTCTGAGGGAACACAATCACTCTGCTGATGTTTTGGGTTTGGATTTTAGCACAAGGCCTTCAATAATTGGAATTTTTTACCTCCTTAACTGTTGGTTAACATCTGAAAAAATAAAAATAAAACTCCCCACAAGCTGCCCAAAAGGAAAAGTCGTTGCTTGAGCTGGGTGTGAACCCCAAGCAGACAGGAAAACGATTTTCCTGGGCACCTGGGGGTGTTTGCAGAGTTCTCCTGTGCTTAAAAAAATCCAAATAAACCCAAAAAATGCCCCTGGATTAAAGCAGATTCCAAGGGCAGAGCGGGAGGAGCAGGGGAGGTGCCCAGCTGAAATAATTCTGGTTTTTAAACCCCAGAATTAGTATTAAAAAATTATTATTAAAGATTATTTTTTTAAAAAATTACCATTATATTAAAAAATGTTAAAACTCAGAATTATTTTTAAAATTATTTTTAAAATTATCATTATATTAAAAAATGTTAAACCCCAGAATTATTAAAAATACTATTGAAATTATTATTACTATATTTTTTAAAATTAAACCCCAGAATTATTTAAAGGTTATTATTAAAAATACTATCATATTTAAAAATTTTAAACCCAGAATTATTTTAAAAATTATTAAGGATTTATTATTATATTAAAAATCTTAAAACCCAGAATTATTTTAAAAATTATTATTTCAAGAATTATATTTTAAAAATTTTAAACCCAGAATGATTGTAAAAATATTATTTAAAAATTATTCAAAATTCTAATTATATTTTAAAATTTTAAAACCCCAAAATTATTTTTAAATTATTATTTCCCCTGGAAGGGAAAAGCCAAAAAATGGCTTAATTTAACTTTTGTTGATGTAGGTGGGTAAAAACCTGAATCTTTCAAATAGGAATCAGAAATTATCTTTATTCTGCTTCAGAATTTCCACTCCTGGCCTCATCAGGAATGAGGATTTTGGGAAATTTTTTGGGAAATGAAGAAATTTCCTTTCCCTTTTCACTCTGGGCCAACTGTTCCCATTTCCTTCTCCTTTCTCCTTCCTGGAATTTCAATTTTTTGGCCCAAAACCACACAAATTTCCAGGTGGATTTTGTGCCTTGGTTTCTTCACACAGCTGGAGAATTTCACTGCAGCCTCAATAAGTCAAAAATATCAAAATTCAGGTGTTTTGTTTTTAATTTTTAAATTTTAATTGCTTATTTTTAAGCTTAAAAAGCTTAAAAGCTTTTATTTTTTTTTTAATTTCTTGTTGTTTCACTGAAGTGTTTTAAAGGCAGGGTCCTGAGCATTGTAAAATTCAGTATTATGGTTGTGGAAAGAGGAAAAAAGTGGATTTTAATCCACATCAGTCACTGGTGCAGCATTGCAAGGGTTGGAAATAAAAATTGGGCATTGCTGGCTGGTGATCAGTGCTGAGGAATGAGTTTACACGTTGAAATTAGGAATAAAAATAATAAAAATGTATAAAATATGTGGTGTGGATTGCATTGCATTGCCAGGAAAACAAATCCCTATGGAATATCCCGAAAAACAAACAAAGAAAAAACCCAACAAAAACCACCAAACAAGCAAACAGCAACAATGAAAAACAGAAAAAAACACCCCAAAACAAAGCAAAAAGGAAAAAAAAATAGCAAAAAAAAAAAATCCCAAATATACACCCAAAAATCACAAATACGCACCCAAAAACCCAAATAAAAACTCCAAATGCACACCTAAAAAAATCCCAAATACATACCTAAAAAAATCCCAAATACATACCTAAAAAAATCCTAAATACACACCCAAAAATCCTAAATACACACCCAAAAATGCCAAATACACACCCAAAAAACCCAATTACACACCCAAAAAATCCCAAATACACACAGACAAAAACCCCAAAAAAATCTCCCAAACAAGCAAAAAAAACCCCAAAAAACACTAAAAACCAAATTAACTCAGCTTATTATTATCCTCAATTATTTATATATAATTATTTACATATAATTATCCCCAGTTATTGCATTTTTATTGGGCTACAAAAAAACATGTAAAACTTTAAAATTAAAATAAAATTAAATTATAAAAATAAAAGTTCACTGCCCCCAGGGCTGATAAAACCTCACAGTGAGAAGTGGTGAGAATAGGAAATTATTTTTATTTATTATAAATAAATAAAAATAATAAATCCAACCATAAAATCCAGCCCGGTTTGGGGTGCAGGAGGAGGAAATAATTGGGGAAGTGGTGCTGGTGAAACCAGAAAAATCTGCTGGTGAAATGATAAAATTAACGATAAAAATAAAAATAAAATAAATAAAATGAAATTATAAAAATGAAATAAAAATAAATTAAATTATAAAAATAAAAAGGAATGGTAAAAATAGAATTAAAATAAAATAAATTATATTTTTAAAATAAAAATTCAGTGCCCCCAGGGCTGATAAACCCCCACAGTGAGAAGTGGTGAGAATAGGAAATTATTTTTATTTATTATAAATAAATAAAAATAATAAATCCAACGATAAAATCCAGCCCAGTTTGGGGTACAGGAGGAGGAAATAATTGGGCAAGTGGTGCTGGTGAAACCAGAAAAATCTGCTGGTGAAATGATAAAATTAATGATAAAAATAAAATAAAAAAATACATTATAAAAATAAAAAGGAATGATAAAAATAGGATAAAAATAAAATAAAGATAAAATAAAATTATATAAAAAAGGGAATGATAAAAATAAAATAAAATTAAATTTTAAAAATAAAAATTCACTGCCCCCAGGGCTGATAAAACCCCACAGTGAGAAGTAGTGAAATAGGAAATTGTGGAGATTTATTAGAAATTGAATTTAACCATGAAATCCAGGCAGGTTTGGGGTGCAGGAGGAGGAAATAATTGGGAAAATCCGTGAAATTCAGTGTTCGGGGCGTTGGGTGTGGATCGGGGCCTTGGGGACGCTTCCATGACAAAGGGACGGGAACGGCCCCGGGCCGGCGCTGCCCTAACCGGGGCCGCCTAAGTCGCGATAGGCCCGCGACAGGGAGGGACAAAACAAAAGAAAAACAAACAAAGCAAAGGGAGGAAAAAAGAGAAAAAATTCTAAAAGAAACAAACAAAAAATTCACAAAAAACCCAATTAAAAAAACGCCAAAAATCAAAAATAACCGCCAAAACAACTCAAAAAAAACCCAAACAAAAAGGAAAAAAAATCCCAAATAACAGGCAAAAAATCCCAAGTAACAGCCAAAAAAAAAAATCAAATAAAAAACCCAAATATACACCCAAAAGCCCAAATAAAAAACCCAAATACACGCCCAAATAAATCCCAAATACACAGCCAAAAAAAACCCAAATACACACCCAAAAGCCCAAATAAAAAACCCAAATACACGCCCAAATAAATCCCAAATACACGCCCAAATAAATCCCAAATACACAGCCAAAAAAACCCAAATATACACCCAAAACCCCAAATAAAAAACCCAAATACACGCCCAAATAAATCCCAAATACACAGCCAAAAAAACCCAATTACACAGCCAAAAAAATATCAACTAAAAAACCCAAATACACACCCAAACCCCCAAATAAAAAACCCAAATACACACCCAAATAAATCCCAAATACACAGCCAAAAAAATCCAAATACACACCCAAAAGCCCAAATAAAAAACCCAAATACACACCCAAATAAATCCAAAATACACGCCCAAATAAATCCCAAATACACAGCCAAAAAAACCCAAATGCACACCCAAAACCCCAAATAAAAAACCCAAATACACGCCCAAATAAATCCCAAATACACAGCCAAAAAAATCCAAATACACACCCCAAAAACCCAAATGCACACTCAAAAAACCCCGAATAAAAAACCCAAATACACACCCAAAAATATCCCAAATACACACCCAAAAAATCCCAAATACACACCCAAAGAAAACCAAATAAAAACCCCAAATACACACCCAAAAAACCTCAAATTCACACCCAAAAAAACCCCAACAAATCCCCCAAACAAACCAAATGAAAAAAACCAAACCAAAACAAAAACCAACCCCAAAGACAACCCACAAAAACCAAACAAAAAACCCAAAACAAAACAAAAAAGAAAAAAAAATCCCAAATACATATCCAAAAAAATCCGAAATACACACTCAAAAAATCCAAATAAAAAACCCAAATACACACCCAAAACCCCAAATACACAACCAAAAAAAAACCCTAATAAAAACCCCCAACAAAACCCCAAAACCCAAATTAATTCCTCTGAAATATCCTCAATTATTTTTATTGGGCTGCACGTGGGACATAAAAATGCAAAATTTGTGCACCTGAGTCAGCCCCAGTGGGGTTTAATTCAATATTAATTAATTAATTCCATATTTCCAGCAAGGAATTCCTTGATGTGGTTTCTGCTCCTTCCTCCTTGGGGCTCCTTAATTCAGTGCCTCTTTATTTTTATTTTAATTTTAAATTATCTTAATTTTGGGCCTCTTTATTCCGCATTCAGCCAGAATTCCAAAGGAATTCCAATAAAACTCGAGCAGGGCACGAAATGAAGTGAAATTATCCAAAAATTGTAATTTTTCCTATAAATCTGACCATGTTTGTATCATCAAATGCAGAACAAAATGCATAAAAATAGGATTTAAATGTTATTTTTATTAAAATGGAGGCATGAACCTCCAAAGACCAAAATGCAAAGCAAAAGTGAGAAGGTGCCATTTTAATGGCTGTGGAATATTTTTAATTTTTTCATGGTTAAATCCTCCCCTTTTCTAACAAAATGAGTAATTTGGGGGGTTTGGAGGGAATTTAAAGTGTAAAAATTAAATCTTTTCAGTGGGGTTTGCATGAATGGTGCTGGTTAGCACAGGAAAAATGGTGAAAAAAACCCCAAATTATAATTTCTCCTATAAATCTGATCATATTTGTATCATCGAACCAGTCTCCTTAGTGAACCCAATGCATAAAAATAGGATTTAAATGATTTTTTTATTAAAATGGAGGCATGAACCACCAAAGACAAAATGCGAGAAGCTGCATTTTAATGACTGTGGAATATTTTTAATTTTTTCATAGTTAAAGCATCCCCTTTTCTGACTAAAATGAGTGGGTTTGGGGCTTTAAATGGAATTTAAAGTGTAAAAATTAAATATATTCAGTGGGAATTGCATGAATGGTGATGGTTAGCACAGGGAAAATGGTGCTGGTGAAAAACCCCCCAAAAAAACCCCAAATTGTAAAAATTTGTCCTATAATTCTGACCATGTTTGCATCATCAAACCATTTTCGCACTGTATAAAAATGGGATTTAAATGATATTTTCACTAAAATGGACGCATGAACCTCCAAGGACCAAAATGCAAAGCAAAAGTGAGAAGGTGCCATTTTAATGACTGTGGAATATTTTTAATTTTTCCATGGTTAAAGCATCCCCTTTTCTTACCAAAATGAAGAATTTTGGGATTTCTGGCGAGTTTAAAGTGCAAAAAAAATCCAAAATCTTCATTGGACTTTGCATGAACTGTGCATGTATTAACTGCTGACATGCACAGGGAGAAGTGGCGGTGGTGACATCAGTGCTGGCCTCAGAATTTGCCGATGTCACCGATTTTTTGCATTTTTTTATAATAAAAATTAACGACACCGAACCCGCGCCCGGGGCCGCCTTTTCCCTCCAAAACCGCGCCGGGCCCGCGCGGCGAATCTGCGGCTCGGGCCTTGAGGCGCCGCAGCTCCCCGGAAAATTCCCGGAGAAACGGGAAAAAATTTCTGCGTGGCGCCGGTGCCGGAGTGACGCGGCGAGCGCGGCGGGAGGGGCGGGACGGGGCGCGGAGGAGCCGCGGCGGCACCGGTAGCCCGTGGCGAATCTGCCGCCGGGGCTCCGCCGCGTGCGGGCCGCGCTGCCCGCCCTCCCCGCGGGGACAGTGGGCGGGCCCTGAGCGCCGTGATGGTTCGAACGAGCCAATGGGGGGCGAGCTCTCGCGGCCTCCGACCAATCGGTGATCGAGGGGGGCGTGGCCGGCGGGGTCGGCGGTACCGCCCCCCCGCTCGCATCCTCTCGGCGGGGCGAGCGCGACCATTTTGCGGGGGGGAGCGGCGGGAGCGGGACCGGCACCGACACCGGGACCGCCAGCGGGATCGGGGAGCGACACCGCGATCGGCGCCGGGGCCGGCATCGGGGAGCGGCACCGGGGGCGGCGGCGGCGCCTGACGGGGGAGCGGCGGCTCCGCAGGCGCGGCCTGAGGCGCTGGGCCCAGCGCTCCCGCTCGCTCCGGGCGGCCTCAGCGGCCCCGGCGGCCTCAGCGTCCCCGTTAGCTCCGCGCCCAGCCCCGCGCGGCCCGCAGCGCCGGGAGGATGTCGCGGCCCGTCAGGTGAGTGCCGGCGGGCCGGCCCCGCGCAGGGCAGGGCGGGCAGGCCTTGCTCGGGGCAGGCCGTGCGGGTTTCTCCTCTATTTCCCCTTGTTTCCCCCCCGCTAACTTGGCACGGCCACCGCCATCCCCGCCGCATTTCGCCCCGCGCCGCTCGCCCGCACTCGGGGGGCCGCGCCGGGGCGGCCCCGCGGCCGCTGTCCCGCATTTTGTAACGGGGGAAAAGCGAATTTTTTTATCGCCGCCGCCGCCGTGACCCACTTGGCGCGGGGCGGGCGCCGCTCTGGCCGCCATCCGCGGCCCCCTCCGGGCGGCGGGGCCGGGCCGAGCACGCTGCCGGGGGAGGGGACGCGGTGCCATCCGGCGAGGGTCCGGGGCACGGGGGCTGTGCATGGGGAACCACGCGTAGGGGAGGAGCCGCCAGGAGCCGCCCCCTCGGAGCGAGCGCCGCTGCCTCATGCCCTGCTCCGGCCGGCCGCGGGCTGCGCGCTCCGCGATCGCCTTCCCGCCCTTGTTTTCCCTCTTTTTATTTTCGTTTCCGAGCTTTTGGCAGCCGGGCTGTGCTGGGCGAGGTGGGTCTGGGCTTGGTGGCCGCGGTTGAGCGGTGTTGGTGGGCTCGGATGGAGCGTGGTGGTTTTGGGGATGTGTGCACGGAGAAGGGAAGGGCTGGAGTGTCAGGGTGGGTATTTGGGGAATATTTGGAAGAAATATTCCCTCTGTGTATTCCCTCAGTATTTGGGGTATTTCTTCCCTCAGAGGGTGCTGGGCACTGCCCAGGGAATGGGCACAGCCACAGAGCTCCAGGAGAGTTTGGGTGAGCTCGGTGGGGCGGGATGGAGCGAGGTGGGTTTGGGGAGGGGGTGCCCGAGGGAAGGGGCTGGAGCTGTGTCAGGGGAAATATTTGGGATATTTCTTCTTCCAGAGGGTGCTGGGCACTGCCCAGGGAGTGGGCACGGCCACAGAGCTCCAGGAGAGTTTGGACAGGGCTGGGATGGAGCGTGGTGGATGTGGGGATGTGTGCACGGGGAAGGGAAGGGCTGGAGCTGTGTCAGGGTGGGGTTTTGGGGAATATTTCTTCCCTCAGAGGGATGAAATATTTCCTCTGTATATTCCCTCAGTATTTGGGGTATTTCTTCCTTCAGAGGGTGCTGGGCACTGCCCAGGGAGTGGGCACAGCCACAGAGCTCCAGGAGAGTTTGGACATTGCTGGGTGTGGGCTGGGATGGAGCGAGGTGGATTTGGGGAGGGGATGCCCGAGGGAAGGGAAGGGCTGGAGCTGTGTCAGGATGGGGTTTTGGGGAATATTTCTTCCCTCACAGGGAATAAATATTACCTCCATATATTCCCTCAGTATTCGGGGTATTTCTTCCCTCAGAGGGTGCTGGGCACTGCCCAGGCTGCCCCGGGAATGGGCACAGCCATTGAGCTCCAGGAGAGTTTGGACGGGGCTGGGATGGAGCGTGGTGGATGTGGGGATGTGTGCACGGGGAAGGGAAGGGCTGGAGCTGTGTCAGGGTGGGGTTTTGGGGAATATTTCTTCCCTCAGAGGGTGCTGGGCACTGCCCGGGCTCCTCAGGGAATGGGCACGGCCACAGAGCTCAAGCAGAGTTTGGACATTGCTGGGTGTATGGTGGGGAGGGGATGCCCAAGGGCAGGGAAGGGCTGGAGCTGTGTCAGGGTGGGGTTTTGGGATTTTTCTTCCCTCAGAGGGTGTTGGGCACTGCCAGGGTTCCCCAGGGAATGGGCACAGCCGCAGAGCTCAAGCAGAGTTTGGACATTGCTGCCGGGGATGGCCAGGATGGGATTTTGGGGTGTGTGTGCAGAGCCAGGAGCTGCTCTGGATGAACCTTTGGAGTCCATTCCAGCTCAGGACATTCTGTGATTCCCTGGTGTCTCAAATCTTTAGCAAGGAGGTGGCAAAAGGGTGAGCTCGTGATTCCAGCTGTCCTTAGAGCAGAGCTGTGAGGTTTCCCACGGTGTTCTCCTCATGCTTTGGAATTTCCTCATTCTCAAGTGATTGGCTGGAGTTTTATTCCCAGCTGGAGTTTTATTCCCAGCTGGAGTTTTATTCCCAGCTGGAGTTGTTTTATTCCCAATTGGAGTTTTATTCCCAGTGAGCCTGGGCTGGGCTGTGGATGTTTGGTGTCTTGGCTAATTGAACTATAAAGTACAAATTACTAATTGAACTATAAAGTACAAATTACTAATTTAATTATAAATTACAAATTAACAACGATGCATCTATACATTTGGAGATGACAGCATTTCTATTTAAGTAATATGTCCCAAAATGCAGAATTTACAATATAAATGGGACCCAGGAGTGCTTTGCTGAGTGGGGCAGTGGCTCAGGGATGGGTGAGCTCCCAAATTAGTGCTGATGTGACTCTGCTGCCTGAGGGGACACTTCAGTGCTGGGCATTTCCTCCACCCAAGGAAAAGCTGCTGTCTTTAAGGGCAGAGCCTCTGAACTTGCTGGAATTAATATTTTTGAGAGAGTTTTAAAAAAATAATTCAAATAAAACACCTCTGTCCAATCCTGGTTTTGTTGCTTTATAGAAAGGAGTGAAATTTCCCATGGTGTTCTTCTCATGCTTTGGAATTTCCTCATTCTCAAGTGATTGGCTGGAGTTTTATTCCCAACTGGAGTTGTTGTATTCCCAACTGGAGTTGTTGTATTCCCAACTGGAGTTGTTGTATTCCCAACTGGAGTTGTTGTATTCCCAACTGGAGTTGTTGTATTCCCAACTGGAGTAGTTTTATTCCCAATTGGAATTGTTTTATTCCCAATTGGAGTTTTATTCCCAGTGAGCCTGGGCTGGGCTGTGGATGTCTTGGGTGTCTTGGCTGATTGAACTATAAAGTACAAATTAATTGTGATAATGATACATCTATACATTTGGAGATGACAGTGTTTGTATTGAAATCCATTCATAAATTAATGCTGCAATGAAGTTTTTTCTGCCTGGCTTTGCTGATTTTTGGGGAAATGGAGGCCTGGTGAAAAGTTCTTCAATGTAGAGTTTTCCTCTTGTCAGTGCTTTTTGAATTTATTGCTGTTTTCTGCTGGTTTGGGGTGGAATTTGTGCTCACCTAAAGCAGTGAAATTCATAAAATCCACCCTAAATCCCAAGTTTTTATTCCACTTGTTGAGAAAATTGACCTGAGGCTGAGTGTGGCTGTTAATGTCAATTATTTCAAATTAAGTAGGAATAAAGTCCTGGCTATTTCCAGGCTTCTTGTGGCTGGCACTGAGAGCCAGGTGCTCCTGGCTGGGAATTATGGGGTTTTCAGTGCTGGTAGAAAAAGGCAAGGAGTAAAAACGAAAGAAACCTGAAATTATTGAATTTCTGCATCTCTTGTGTAACTCTGCTGAAGTTCTGCAAAGAGAGCTGGGGCTGCTTATAGAGAAAAAAAGAAAATTAAATACTTGGAGCCACTATTTTTATATATTTATATGTATATATTTTTAATATATTTTTATTTATATATATATGATATATATTTATATATATATTATTTATATATATCATATATATATCATATTATATATATATATATATATAAAATCAATTAATGTATTTAAAATCAGAATTTTGATTTCTGCTGCAAATTTCTTCTGCTTTTTCCCACTGGTCACTTTTATTTGCTGGTTTTCTCCTGCAGGCTTTGCAGATTGAGGTGTTGTGGGCAGGGGTGGAAATCCCAGGGGTTTTTTTTTTTTGGTCATTCATTTTAAACTTCAAGCCAGTTATGAATTTATCTCAGTGCTTCAAGGCTTTACATCTTTCATTTTTCTGGACTTGAATCCTTCCTTGAATGGTTGGCATTGCAGTGAAAGGGTGAAATTTTACTTGCAGGAAAAAATAGATTTATTCAATGTAAAATATAAAGTAGAAATAATTGTGATTGTGGAAGAGTTGCTGTGGGGTTGCAGGCAAGCAAGAGTTCCTTGGGGATTGGCACTTAATAACATGGAATGATGAGAAAAAAGCTGATTTTTGGTCTCTTCCAGTCTGGGGAAAAGCAGAGAGAAGGTGGAGGTGCAAGAAAATCCAAAATAGAGGGAGGGGGGTGAGCTGAGTGTTTGGCTTTGGTTCCCCTCCTGCTCTGCATCATTAAAATCAAATAGAGAATGAGCAAAAACTGCTTTAATTATGGAATCATTTAATTATGAAATCATTCCATTGTTCTGGGGAGTTCAAAATCCTGAAATCCCTGCAGAAGCTCAAGTGGGGAATCAGCCCAGCCCCAAATCTCAGTGCTGAGTCCTGGCTCCAATTTGTGCCCAGACAGGGGTGATTTTAATTTCACCCACTTGGGATTTTTGAACCAGTTGGGATCTGATGCTTTATCAGTGAAAAGAGTTGGGATTTTTGTACCTTGTCAATAAAAGAGCTGGGGTTGGATGGTTTATCAATAAAACAGCTGGGATTGGATGGTTTATCAATAAAAGAGCTGGGGTTTGATGGTTTATCAATAAAAGAGCTGGGATTGGATGGTTTATCAGTAAAAGAGCTGGGATTGGATGGTTTATCAATAAAAGAGCTGGGGTTGGATGGTTTATCAATAAAAGAGCTGGGATTTGGGAGTTTATCAATGAAAGAGCTGGGATTTGATGGTTTATCAATAAAAGAGCTGGGGTTTGACAGTTTATCAATAAAAGAGCTGGGGTTTGATGGTTTATCAATAAAAGAGCTGGGGTTTGATGGTTTATCCATAAAACCACTGGGGTTGGATGGTTTATCAATAAAACCACTGGGGTTGGATGGTTTATCAATAACAGAGCTGGGATTGGATGGTTTATCAATAAAACCACTGGGATTTGACAGTTTATCAGTAAAAGAGCTGGGATTGGATGGTTTGTCCATAAACCAGCTGGGGTTTGATGGTTTATCAATAAAAGAGCTGGGGTTTGATTATTTATCAATAAAAGAGCTGGGATTTGATGGTTTATCAATAAAAGAGCTGGGATTTGGGACTTTATCAATAAAAGAGCTGGG